ATTATATTTATATATTATGTTTCTTATCTACTGTCTGAATCTATGAGTTGTAGTTCAGCTCATGTTGAGCCAAGCTTTCTTAGACAACAGAAATATTAAAATCAACCTCCAAGGCCTTATCTTTATCTAACTAATTGCTACAGAGCTTCGCTGCCTTATCGGATTCTCCTCTTCTTCCTGTTCTTATCATTGCTGGAAGCCCTGAAGTGAACTTCTGCATACTTCTTATATAGTTATAGTCTATCATTGTTATTGGGCTGTTACAAAGTAATTACCGTAAGTAGTGCTTGAAATACTTTTAATGTTTAAAATTATAATTTTTAAAGAAATATAGTTATTGTGATTGTTTTATTTAGAATGAACATCCATATGAGTGACTTGCTTCAGCTGAATGCACATATTTCTAATCTATGCTAACTGTATTTACCTCGGCTTGTACAACAGCCTCATTTGTTTGTGGCACAGATTCAACAAGGAATGAGTTGGAGATGATTTGAGATTTGTGACGAAGTGCATTACTATGTTAAAGTAGTCATCAAGTTAGGAACAATACGTCTTTTATGAGACTGTTAGGGATGGGCAACATAGACTTAAAATTTTATTGCTAGAATTTGTGGCATGTATTGACATAGATGTAAAAGTAGTCACAAAAATATTTATAGCTTCTTTGTAATCTCTCAGCATGTCACTGAAGTTCAAGCCCAATAAATATTAAAACTGCTGATAAAGTCATATGATTTTTAAAATAAAATAAAAAAATCTTTATCAGATAAAGATTTCTGATTTCAGTTAAGATTTCTGTACAACCTGCATTTTATCAAATATTTGAATTTATGGCTCCACGTGGAAATGGTAAAAGTAAAAGAAAACGGTCTATTAAGATACACTATTGGCAATCCCGCCAACAGTCTTAAGTTTTTGAAGTTTTCTGACGTCATTTGTTTCTATCACGATGAATCAAAATTCGTGTCATGGTAAGAAATTGTTCACCATAGTGATAATTGCCCAATTCCAAAACTGTGCAAACACACTGTACAAAGTGCCAGCTGGCAGAGAAGCTCTTCTCCTTCAACTTTCAACATGTTGTGTGTACGGATGGTATTGCACAGACCCTGGTTGTAATGAACGGTTATTTAAGTTTCTTTTACTTTTCTAACTTTTTCAGTTGGGATGCAAATTATCCTCTTACATCAATAATTTGTCTTTTACTCAGACAAGATCTGCTCCTTGTTTGTTTACTTTTTTTTTGGACTCAGATCTAGCTGTGCATGAACATCCAGATCAGCTGTTTTTGAAATCCTCAGACAAGCATCTGGGATCATCTGCATGCTGCATTTAAAATAGCTGAAACTTACTTTATAATTTTAATATTGTTTCTTCTTAATTCTGATGTTCGGGTTAATCTGCAGCAAGGCACGGCCATCATTTCTAGATACTTGATAAGAGTACACTATGAATGTTTTGAACTGTTCAAATGTGACTGACATCAGCCTATCGCATTCGCAAAAAGAAGTGTTATTTAAAGTGTCTGGATGTTATGTCATTTAAAAATGCAATGCAGATATACAATGGATTGACGAGGGTATAAAAGTTTACATTGTTTTTATATTTTTTGGATAACACAGTTGCGACTGACAGAGAGAGTGGATTTTAAGGCTCCTATTGTGGTCACCGCAGATTCAAAGGAAACACAAATGGTCAAAAATATCACATTTCCTTTGGAAAAAGATGGTGAGTTAAAGTGCTGTAATTTCTAGCAAAACAAAAAACAGCAGGGTCACTGAGTTCCTTTTCCTTCCTCTTTCTTTCAGTCTGTCCCTTGAATCGTTCTCCAGAGCCCAAAGGTAAGAGATTAACATTTCACAAATAGAATTGTCCACAAAAATCTATAGAAATGTTACATTCAGTACTGTATTCTGTGGACTGATGACACAAAAGTAGAGTGGATGGTGTAGGGTGCTTTTCTGCTTCATGATCTCAACGACCTGCTGAAATTGATGGAAACGTATCGGATCATCAGTTTCTTTTCGATTAAGCTCAAGTGCGTTTGGGTTAAGCCACACGACAGTGATCTGAAGCACATTAATAATTTCACCTCTGAATGAATTTAAAAATTAAACAAATTAAAGAATTTGGATAAGCCTTGTGAAAGTCCAGACTTAAATCTGGTTGAGATGCTTAAAATCTTTTAATGTGGCTGAATTAAACCACTTCTGCAAAGAAAAACAGGTCAAATTCCCCTACAGAAATTTAAAGCCAAATGGTTGAGGCCACTTTGTTGCATCCAAATGGTTGAGGCCACTTTGTTGCATCCAACTGTTAGGTTTAGGGAGGGAAGTTGTTTCTCACGGTGGCTTGGATGACGTTTTTTTCCCCCTTAATTAATGAAAGAAATCATAATTTAAAAACTGCATTTTGCATGTTGTCTGGTTATCTTCGTTTGTTATAATGAAAATGATAACTGCATGTGTCTTTTACTGTGCTCTGTGAATTTTTGTAAGAGAACGCATTATCTGGAATCATTTGTTTGTTTGTCCTAGCACATGCCGTTACGCAATGGATTTAAAAAAAGACTACGGTCGGTTGTTTACGATGACTGACATGTTCCTCTTCCAGTTCCTAGGCTCCATGTATATGACACAGAAAACTTGGTCCGGCTGCAGCTGCAAAATATTTCTTCCACACAAGGGAAGATCTATTGGGTAATGGAATGGGATGACATATCTGGACAGCCTCTTTTGTGGGTAAGTCATCCCTGAACTATCCAAAAATGTTCATGCACACATTTCAAAACGTTCAACAATAGTTTCACCTGTGTAATTTGCTTGTCTGTGCAGCCTACCAACAAGAGTGAAATAGTTATCCCATCATATCTCATTGCACCATGCCTATGCTTCCTGGTAACTGGAATTTTAACTTGGAAAAATATTCATTTACATATGATGAAAGGAATGATTAAAAAGTAACTATTTTTGTAGGCATGGTTTGATAGTAAAGACACGAAAGGAAAGTACTGTCCTTTCACAAATAAAACAGGTAAGAGTTGTTTCCTGATGTCGCTGTCCGATCTTATCTGCTTCGTGATGCTTTGGTTCATGGAATATGACGTGCCATTTTCTGCTTTTTAAAAAAATGTTTAATAGACGCTCTGAGAAGAATGCAGAACAACGTGTCTGTGGCTATGGTGGAGTCTCCGTTAAGTAGTGGGGACACGGGGCTGAGCTGGAATGTAACCTCTCCCTGTAAAGTGCAGACAGAGGTGCAATTGTGCAAGAAAGACATGGCAGGAGGCCAGTGTGAAGAAGTGACGGGCTCCAGAGAGCAACTCGGCACTGCTGGTTGGAAGGCGGTGCACAGAGTACACTGGGTAAAAATAAAAAAACATTGCTCAATATGCTACACCCTCCGTTCACAAAGTAGGTTGGACCGATTCCAAACATTTGTCAGCTTAGGAGACTTATAAAGATCAGAGGTGAAATGATTCGTATAAAAGAAAAGACATTGTTTGCTTGATGCCTGGCATGAAGTATTTTTACAAGTCAGGCAGCGTTATTGTCCGAGATGTCCTTGCGCATCACAAGTCAGACATTCGATGTGGTTACATCTGGTTACATCGGTTCCTGTGCTTTCAGATCATTTTGAGATCTATTTATTACACTTATTAATTAGCATTTTAATTTATTCCTTTTCGTCCTTTCAGCAAGCAGGGGAGTTCTCGCCACACCTACACCCACACCCACACCCTCAGCTTTGTGTGCAGGTACCATTTGTACTTTTTTCTTCAATAAACCCTCACTGTTTTTAACAACATTTTGTACTGAGCCATTGAACCTACAGTCACTTTAAACCATTATGCTATAGGTTAAATCTGAAGGGATGGTCTCGTTCTCAGAGCCCCAGTGTCCATTTGAAAGTAAGAATTCAAACTACTTCCATACTCTAAAGAATGATGTCCAAAGTTTATTTTTACGTAGATTATGTATTTAATGCATATTATTGTACAGTTCATGCCTAAGAAAAACATGTTTCTCACAAACTTTACTGCCTCATCGTTGCTCTCTTTGCCACATTTTTATAAAGTAGACCAAGCTGAACTCACTAATAAACATGTAATATGTTTCAAAGGCCTTTAATTAGAAATACACCACTTTCATGCAAAACTCTTAGGTCAGAAAATAAGAGTAGATTCATGAGTTTCCTTCTAAACTCTTAGTTGTCTCTTTATGTACTGAATTGTATTCTTTTTCTTAAAAAAAAAGGCTTCTTGATTTTTTTATTTATTTTGTTTTACTTTAGCACATCGAGAAAGATGGATTCTTCTGCTTCTCGTCGGATTTATCCTGATATGTCTGGCTATACTTGGAGTCTATTTGATACGAGGCGTTCTGAAAGGTTGGCTTCTTTAGGATACAAAACTGAATGTCTCTTGCGGTTAGTATGAAAACGTCTCAATATTATTTCTGCTTTTTCTCCAGGATATGTTTGGAGGTGGTTGAAGGATGATGACGTCAAAGGTTTGTCTAACTCTTGTTTTTTTGTTTATGCTGACAAAAAAATACCAAAAACCTTTTGCTGATGTTACAATTCCTTTAAAAACTAGTCTTACAGCTTAAAATCTTCTGCTTCAAATGAAAATGTCAGTTTGTTTTATTTGAACTTGATGTTGTAAACACAAAGTAGAGCATAGTTATAAAGGAGAAGAAAAGGTGTTTTTGAACAATTTAAATAGTCCGCCAAAGTGTATTTAAATCTCAATCCAGCTTTTCTGTGATGCTTAGAGGTTGTTTGAGGAGATAAGTGAACAAACGACATCACTGCAGACTAAGGAACATGCCTGCTATGTCACAGATGAACTTGTAGAAAAGTTTAAAGTAAAGTTTTAAAACAAAATCAAAGCTGCAAACCTACCAACTGTACTTATCTGTAGAGGAGATCAAGCTGAAAATTAGCCACTGTAACTATGAAGGAGGTGCAGTGAACCACAGCTCCGGTAGGATAATCTGTCTAGAGTGCAACCATTAGTCATCCACTCCACAAATCAGGGCTAATTCTGTGAGAGTGGCAAGAATCCAGCACTAAGAAGTCCTGTTTATGGGTTATGCCATAAAAGAAACAGCTGTGAATGGTTAGCTTCGAGCAGCAAACTTGTACAACAACGGAGGAGTGACTAAGAATAAAGTAAATCCATGCGTTAAAATTGCCACGTAAAAATCCAGACATTAATCAAATGGAGAATATGTAGAAATCTTTTGAAAATACCCCCTGGAAGCTTTTATTGCAGTGAAAGTGGTCCTTCAAAGTATTGGCACAAATATATGCTACACTTTTCATATTTTTAATTGTTCAGAAACTTGAAAAGTATCCAATATCTTTTCTCCACTTTACAGCCATGAACTCCTTAGTGTCTGTCTGTCACATAAAATTAAGATAAAATCCACAAAGGGTTTGTGTTTATCACGTGACAAAATGTAAAACAGTTTTTCAAGGCAGTGCAAAAGTTAGATTTTTTTATTTATACCAGTTGTATAGTTCAGGCGGGATTTTTCTTTTTACTCTGTGGCTTAAAAAGTACATTTGATTCATTTAGTGTTAATTTATTACGACATGCATTATTTTCAACAAATACTGAATTTGACTTGTGATTCACCCAGCATGAATGTTTTCTTTCTTTCAGGTGCCGTGGGTGGCGGTCATGTGATGCTGCTATATCCGCCTGATGATGACAAGCGTCTGCCAGAGCTCCTATGTCACTTGGGTTCATCTCTTCAGGCCCTGGGCTTCACCGTGTCTCTTGACCTCTGGAGCCAGTGCGAACTCGGCGTGCTCGGCCCCGTGCCGTGGCTCCACTCGCGACTGGACCGTCTGAAGCGGCAGGGCGGCAAGGTGGTGCTAGTCCTAACCCAGACCACGTGGGCCAGAGCCGAGGAATGGGGAGCCCGCAGCTGCGAGAACAATGAAGAGAACATCAGAGGAGTGGAGAGGGACTCTGCCTCGTCCTGCCACGTGGATGTTTTTGGCGCCTCGCTGAGCTGTATTCTTGCAGACTATTTACAGGGCCGCGCAGGCGAGCGGTTCATGCTGGTGCAGTTTGAGTCACTCCCTCCTGCGCCTCCAGGTGGCTATCGGCCGCTTCCACGGCTTTTTTGTGGACTCCATCTCTACAGCCTTCCTTCCCAAAGTCTGGGCTTTCTGACTGAGCTGGCGGGCTCCAAACAAATCGCCTCAGCATCAGCAAGGCGGAAAAGAGCAGGGGGGCTTCGAATGGCATCCAGAGCGTTTGCCAAAAGGCTGTCGGGGTTCACAGCGGGGACAAATGTGTTGCACCTTGCTGGTGTATCTCCAGGCTGTGTTGGGCGGGAAGAGGAAGACTCTGGGGAAATACTACTATTGGAACCAAATTTAATCACACCACCGTCCAGTCCTGATACAGTGGTCGGTAAAATGGATTGGGTCTGACAACTAGAGAGGATCGTAAAGGACAAGTTATGGGAGGCTTCAGTGAACAAATATACCTCAATTAATGCACAAAGACATCCATTTTCTGTTTGTGTTACCCTTACTGTATTGTGGGATGCTGTCGCTTGATGATCTCCAAGTGTCTCCAGAAGTTGTTGGACAGAAGGCAGTTAAGGGTTAGGATACAACTGCATGACATTAGAGCATTCTATGGAAATAATATTGGTAAATATTGCATTGATGATATCAGTTACGATATGCCTAATATTTTCCTTCTTGTCTCTATTGTCTGTGCTTCAATGTTATTAGCGTCCAGTGTGAGGATTTGCTGCAGTGAGACTGAGATTAATATTGGAAGAAAATGCAATTTCATAAGTCTTGGAATATGTTAGCTGCAATTATTGCACTCCAGAGAGTCCTTTGAAATATGTTTATTGCGCAGTCTGATATTGCAATAATTTTGCGATATACTGTGCGGACCAGGGTAGACCCTGGTTAGGTTGCTGATCCAGGACATGGCAACACAGAAAAGCACAAGGCAAACAACCACACAGACATGTTCTGCCACCTGTGGGGAATTGAAAGAGAAACGTAGCACACTTAGTTTGAACAATGTGAAGAAAGTGGAGCAACTGGAGAAAACCTACACACGCATAGGGAGAAAATTTGAACTCGGAGTTCAGAAAATGCACACAAACATCTATAGTTAGTTTGAAGTGACCTGTTTACCATGTCTCTCAACTGTGGGAGGAATATGACATGTTTGGGAGAAAACACTCATGCCTAAGGACAACATGGAAATTGTGTGGGACATGTTGAGAAAAAGCATCATATTGTTCAACAGTTTTGCTAGTTAGGTTTATCAAACAGTAATGTCGGCTTGATAAACCTGGATGGTGTGTTTAGCAGCAAGAGCAGTTTTATATGATAAACATCAGGTCAGTAAAGCTTGAGCAGCTAACGCTTAAGAGAAACTTGATCCAGCACTGGAACATGACACTACCTGGAAAAACAAAATGCATTAAATATAGAAGATATTTTTAGGAGTTTGCAAATTTTGTTTGATTGTGATCTTGAAAAAGCAAAATGGCATTAACTCAAAACCTCAGAGAGAGCATTCTCAGTGTAGCATGCACTTGATATTTATACCAACCTTTTCACAGGCACTGTGTGTATTTAAGTCATTTTACTTGTACATGATGGTCTTGCACTTCATCTGGACAGTAAAAACCGTACAACTCCCAAAAGAAAAAATGTATATATATATGATAGACTGTACATGTAAATATGCTATATGGTTTGCTCAGGAATTCTGAGTTGGTTTTATACTGTGATTTCTCTTAAATGTTTTGATATGGGATTGAATAAAGCATTATTGTATTTCTCTATAAACAACTTTTGCTCATATCTGAGTAAATAACAGATACTTTAGTTTGACTTACTACAATTTCACAATAAAGAGATAAAGCTCAACAGGAACACCATGAAGACGTGAAATTAAGAAGAGATGTGCCAGTCAGCACTTTGGTTGTATGGAGAATATGGAGCACTGCAGATGCAGTGTATGACTTGGGTAAAACAATACTCAAGAGAAGCACTCAATAAGCATGTTTTTACTCAAAATTTAAAAAAGTAGCCATCTGGGAAATTATTTCCTTAGGTGAGCTTTTTGTAGCTGTGAACATTATGTTTGATATATTGAAAAAAGTATTTAATCAGAGACAAAAATACATTTAAAGTACAAATATGATTACAAAGCAAAATTAGGTAGAGCAAACACTTTTTCTAATAAATTTTTCAACATAAAACTTATCAAATCAATACAGTACGTAACATATGTGTAGAGGACAGGATAAAGTATGTTCCAGTGATAATATATCCTGTTTGCTGTTTCTTTCCTTGACTTCCAAAAAACTGAACAGGCTCAGCAGAAAGAAAATAATATTAAAACAACAAAGCGTGTGCGCAAACATGGTGTGTTACAGTATACAAACAGTGAGACTGTGGTGGTAGATCAGGTGAGCACTATCTTCTTTGCAATGGTAGTGCCTAAAGGATGAGCTCCGGTAGGAGTCCACTTGAAATGATAAAGGTGGCTCACACAGAAAAATGTTATCACAATTAAAAGATGAGCTGTTCAAGATTGTTCTATGTTTTAAAATGGTTTCAACTGAGCAGCATCACGGAGAAACGTTTGCGAATCCCCAGAACAAAATAATAATAAAAGTAAAAAGAATCACACGTGGTGGCAACAACTGAACTCTGAACGTAAATCTAGAAATGACACCGAACCAAACTGAAGTCTAAAAATCCTATTGGAATTTGTGGTCATAATTCTAACGTCTAACTTTCCTTCATTAAATTTTGACTTTTGGGGACCTTCTATTAATTTTCCATTCTTGAAACTTGTAAATTCTAACACTGAAAGTAGTGAATGCAAAAATGAAATGTCATCCTTCAAACAGTCTTGCGCTGTTACTACATCTGCAAATAAATACGTTTCATTTAAAAGTAAACACAGTCATATAAGAGCAGTGCATTCAGTATATGAAATAATGTCAGATTACACATAAATAAGCGGTGCACAAGATAACCAGGGAAAAAACGTTTTAAGACGACTCGAAGATAATCAGTTAAATATAAATATAAAAATCGAGCCACTCAAAAATGAATAATAGGTTAATTTAATAATTTGTCATTTCAGAAAAGAAAATGTGATATGACCGTTAACACACGTCATCGATGGGTGTGACGGCTCTGATGTGTGATTGGCTGATAGATTAAATCCCAGCAACGTCATATCCTGCGTGGCAGCCGCTCCATGGAAAACACAGAAGAGGCTAGAAGCCAATCATTCATTCATCCCAACGGAGTGCAGTCTCTGCCCGTCCCACTGCAGTCCAGCACCACGGCTGCTGCAGGAGCATTTCCAGCGTTAACCAAACATTCTTTGGCTGAAAAGTAAAAGTTAAAGGAGGATTCCTAAAATGTGAAGTTGGCCGGCTTCAGGTGACAGTGAGCCAGCAGGGACCGAGACGATCTGTCGGTGGTGCAGCAGACGTTGTGGTTTAATAACGAGGTACAGAAATAAAAATCTCAAAGCAAAAACATGGAGGTAAAACGATTAAGCGATATATATGCATCTGATTGGATAGTGCCTCCAAATAAATAAAGTAGCGGCCAGAAGAGCAGTCTTTATAAATACGGTTGACTAATGCTAGCAGCTAGCTGACCTTAGCTGCTAGCTGGTGCTGATGTTGCTCAGCTAACGTTGAAGTCAGAGCATCTTAGCCTGGATAAATAGCTTATTTTGTTGTTTTTATTACTACGTTACTGTGCAGAATGTTACATACATATGATTTATATAGAAGATAAATGTTGATTTATGAGATGTACTACTATTTCAGTGGGTTATCTTTAATTGTACCTTACCTTGTCTTAAAATTGTATTTTAATTGCTTGTCCTCCCTTGTTTGAAAGTTTACTATTACTGTTTTAATTTATTATTTTCTCATTAGCATGTACGTTAAATGTTACAGTGCAGTAGACATACAAGCAGGCAAATCATGCATTTCATCCAAAGAGCAGTCCTATCTGCTACAATGGAATATTATTGGGCAAGATTGACCACCTGTATATTATTATTATTATTTATTATTATTTAAGTCTCATTAAGCTCAAGAACTGCAAAGGTTGGCCTGACCAAGAACAGAAATGTCGCAGTGGACAAGACAAATGGACAATAACAGAAACAAACATTAAAAATATTCAAAGTGCAAACAATTTATCTAATAAAATGTAGTACGGTAGTTATTACTGTAGCAATTAAAAATAAATAAAACTGTAACAATTTAAAACGAGCAGTTTCTGCTGTCGGTTTCTTAAGATGGATCCGGAAGATCTCACTTAAACAAGTTCTGACAGTTTTAGTTCAGATTGGAATGCTTTCCAAGCATAGAGGAGAGAGAAACTGAAAGCTTTCTTTCCAGTTTCCGTTCGCATGCGAGGAGCATAGAGGCACAAAATGTAATTCGATTTCATGGTATAATGGCTTCAGTTTTCTGAAGGAAAATGCATACATATGTAGGAATCAAGCCAACAAGAATTTTGGTAAATCAGAGTAATACGATGTTGCTTGTTGCAGTGAAACACTACTGTATCAGCAGTAAGCAGTTATTCAGACATGGAATAACGTTGGCTGTTTTACCAAGCAGCTTTTGGAACTTTTAAGGCTTTAGGGAAGTTTTCAAATCAATAACTGCAAAGAAAATTACACTCAGTGCAGATGAACTTTAGAAGACCAACGTGTTGCTTCAAACTTTAGAGACCCTCTGTCTGTCTGTTCTGGTGAAGCACATATTTTCTGTTTGTCCTCTGAAGGATCATGTGGGGAGTCTGGCCTTTCCTGCCTGCTCTGGTGCTTCTGTCAGAGCTCTCTGTGGAGAAAGTCCAGACGGCGCCATGCCAAACCTGCAGAAAACTCACTGAAAGCTTCATTAAGGTAAATCTGATAAACTGCAAGTTTTCACTTGACATCTTTCTATCGCGCTCAGGATTAAAAAAATTTATGTTTTTGTACAGGGATTAGAAAAAACAGCAAACAAGAACTTTGGTGGCGGCAACACTGCATGGGAGGAGGAGAAGCTGGCTAAGTACGCACGCAGGTAGGAGTAGTTTCTGCAGCTGACCTTTGAGGTACTGTGGCCATTTGTAATTAACATCCGTTTTGTCTATTATTCAACATTTCCCTAGAATGTTTTTTGGTTTTAAATGTTGAATATTTCTTCTTCATGTATTTACTACTCGCATATTTCTGTGGTTCAACCTCTGCCTAATCATCGTCTCCTCGTTTTAGCGAGACTCGGCTTTTGGAGATCGTCGAAGCCGCTTGTGAGAAAACAGATTTTGAATGTAACCGTCTGCTGGAGCAGATAGAAGACCAGGTTGAGACGTGGTGGTTCCACAGGTACAGTACAGCTTTAACAAGTGTTAAAGACAAGTTTTTAAAATTTTTTTATTATAAACCTGCCTTCACGCTGTGCTATCATGAGCCTGTTTGAACATTGTGTTTGTTTTCCAGGCAGCAGGAGGCACCGGATCTGTTTGAGTGGCTCTGCATTGAGCAGCTAACACTATGCTGCCCACCTGGACACTTTGGACCTGACTGCAAAGGTGTGCACAAGCAGGTTACTTCATGTTAGTACAATAAAAAAAAAAAAAAAACAGAGTCTACATCCTTGCTTACTTCCTTCATTGCTGCAGTATGTAAGCAAAGAGCTGATCATTGTAATCGTGCTAATTTGAAGAGTGCCCGTCTGGACCTGGAGGTGTGTGTGGAGGTCTGGGCCGATGTGAGGGTGAGGGCACTCGTCTGGGAGATGGGGAGTGTGTCTGCGACCCGGGTTACTCGGGCCAGCTGTGCCAGAGCTGCGCTGATGGTTACTTCCGGGAGAAGAGCTCCAACGACAGCGCAGGGGCTTGCTCAGGTGCGACATTTCCCTACTGCTGTTTACACGTTTTTAAATCGCCGTCGTGTTCAGCAGGACCGGATGCTGGTTTGATGTTAACGGTTCTCGCCCACGTCTAGCGTGCTACCACTCCTGTAAGAAATGCTCAGGGCCACAGGACTACAAGTGCCTCGCCTGCAAACCTGGGTGGATCCTTCATGACAACAAGTGTGTGGGTGAGTGTGAATTTGTTTTTGTTTGTTTTTGTTTGTTTTTTTTTTTAGCAAGTTTGGATGAATACACTTCCTGTGACTTTTACCATGTCTCTTGTAGACATTGATGAGTGCGGCACAGAGCTGGCTCGTTGTCCTTCCAACACTTACTGTCACAACATAGACGGATCCTATGAATGCAGAGGTACGGCTCCTTCAATATGTATTGATCTCTATCAAACAAAATCATCCTGGTTGTTTCAATTGGGACCAAATGGTTTGAAACCAACACTGGTTGGTGTGAACTTTATTGTTGAGGAAATAGCAGTCAGCTATTTTCAGTCTCTGTGAGGTTTTTGAAAATTAAGTCAGAGTTAGTGCATCATTTACCAATTTGAAGTAATTTACTAGATCCTATAACTGGTCAGGAAATGCTGTTTGTATTATTGTCTTGAAGATGAGTTTGTTTTTGCATTCATACCAAAAACGAAAGACTTTGATTTTTCTTAAGAAAACTTAAGAAACATGAACTGTGGTGGTTGTGAAAACTACAAACTTGACCACAGTGGACAGTTGCTTCTCTGCTATCTGGCAGAGCATCACATTGACAGTAGTGATGCTGACCGTTTCACCTTTGCGTCCAGGCTGTGACCAGGCGTGTGTGGGCTGCATGGGCAGCGGTCCGGCTCGCTGTAAGAAATGTGCGCGTGGCTACAGACTGAAAGGAGCCAAGTGTCTTGGTATTCAAACTGTCATTAATTATCTGTGTAATTTTTAACACGTAAGGTTATCCTGGTGGAGGATTCAGCCATTTTCCCGTGTGTTCCCTCTCAGATATAGATGAATGTAGCGAACGCGCAATAGCGTGCCCCGGACTGAACGAGGCCTGCATCAACGAGGAGGGCTCCTTCCACTGCGACTGCGCTGAGGGATTCATCAGAAGAGACAGCATTTGTGTGGAGAATAAGCCACCTGGTGAGTATCGGGTTTTAGGCAAAGCAGTACGAACCCAAATAGTCTCTCGTCTGTATTCTCTCTGTATTCTCTCTGAATAGTTTGGATTAGAATCAATGCTGCCAGTGTTTAATACCTTCTGCTGTGTTTAAATACAGCTGATTTGTACATTAAGTATTTTTTCCATTTACATATTTAAAAAAAAAAAAAAAGGAGTTTAACATGGGGTGGTAACAGAGCCGTATAGAGAGTGACAATTAAAACACGTTGATGTTTGTAGTTCTTAGGGATAGAAGGCACTGTGTCTGTACATTTGAAGAGAATTGTACGGTATAAATGTAAAGTTTCTGTGCGAGAAATACTGGCAAGAAAATTGCGCGTAAAGACGGCGTCAGTTATGCAGCAAATGTTGACCTCATTGTTGGAAAGCAATCCGTAAGGAGATCTCCGTGAAGTTTGGACTCTGAAATCTGAGTTTGCTTTCGTCTTGCCTCCTCAGCTGGCCCAGAGAAAGGTCTGTTTGACGACATGACGGATGACGAGGTCCTTGTGCTGCAGCAGATGTTCTTCGGCGTCATAATCTGCGCCCTCGCCACACTTGCAGCCAAGGGAGACATGGTCTTCACGGCCATTTTTATTGGAGGAGTGGCTGCTATGGCTGGATATTGGCTGACAGAGAAGGGAGACTACATGCTGGATGGATTTCTGAAGGGACGTTAGGCTGTCTTCACATGTAACAAAGGGACCTGGGGATGCCAGCCAGGAGAGGTGAATAAGACTTGACCGATGGTGGGACGTTATCTTCAATGCTAGCCTTTCAGGGATTAATCATGTAATTTACAAGGGCTTGGATTAATTAATGTATAACCGATGAAGAGGATTATGCAAGAAAAGGTGAAGACTAATGATGTCATGAATGAAGCAACACTGCACTGATATATAAGATACCTGAACTTCATTCCCTACCATAAGCTTTGCCTGTGTCAGGTTACTGCTATACTCCGGATGGTAGCTATGGGCAACACTGTCCCCTCAACACTGTCCCCTCAGATTGACCCTAAGTAGAGTCCGAGTTGGTTTCTACCACAAGTTTTTTTTGTTTTTCACTGAATGACTTTATATACCTCTTCCTCTGTGAATGTGTGTGCCACAATGCATGTTATGTTCATTTGAAATCAGAAGTACTGCACTGTTTTAATTTATTGTTTACTTTAGCATGATTGTTTTTTACTTTTTTTTTTTTTAGCTGCTGGATTATTTATTTAAATGTAAAAGGAGTGTGTGAGTGTAATCTGGATGACTCAAGCCAATTACTGTTGCCTGTTTTTTTTAAAGCTATATTTATGTTTGTGAATATTTAGTTGTTTGTATTATCAATGCAAACATTCAGCTGTAATTCAGAGATTATTTTGGAGAGCCATCACGCCAACACCTCTGATCCATTATCGATCCTTCTTTACCCGGAGTGGAATCGTCCACAGGTGTTTGCTTTACAATAAAAGGAGATTTTACTTTTTAGATCAGAAAGCTGTTGTTTTCTAATGATTAATATAAGAAATATTAACATTTGATTTATTGCATTTGTTGCCATGCAGCAAAACAACACATGGTCATGTTATGCTCAACACATGACAACGATGACTGCTGACATGACTGTAGTCCAGTAAGCTGTCACTGAGGATGAGTCACAAGAGCTCCTTATTAAAGAAACTGATTCTTCAGAGTGGTGTTGGCAGATATGTTAATGAGAAGTCGTGTGAAAGATAAAACAATGGTTGAAAATGGCCCTGAAACAAAGCAATGGAAGAATTCGATGCATACTGTAGCTGGAATCTGAATTTCTCACACTGATGTATCCTGGACCAGGGCCACAGCTGTTGCATTGCTTGTCTGCACCCACTCCTAAGACGAGGACAACATCAGAAGCTTCTTACTTTAGGAGAGAAAGGACTAGATGGCTGCAAATCCTTTCTTTTTGAATCCTGCATTTCATTTGAAAAAAAAAAAAAACAAAAAAAAAAACATAAGGTCTGAGAGGTAGAATGGAAAGGCCCAGGCTTGAGGTCCAGTGAGTAGTTTCCTATCAGTGTTGGTCTGGGGAGCCATGTTATCTTGCTGGTGTTTGTTGTATTCTAGATCAAAGTCGGTGCAGAAATCCACCGGGAGATCTTTAAGGAAATGCCGATTTAATTTTTGAGCATCAAAAGGAGGAAGAGAGACAGAGCAGACCCAACAATGGAGAAAAGCTCAGTTTGCTGTTAAAGCAACCTGGGCTTCCATTACAGCTCTGCTGCAGCCTGATCGTCTTCATGCCACGTTGCTTTGATGCAGTAATTCACACAAAATGAAACCTGATCAAGTGTTGAGATTTTGTATGGTACTGGACATGTACTCGTATATACCTTTGTTTTTTTTAATGTTTTCATATTGTTTTTTTTAATATTCCAGAAACACAATTTTGAGTTTTAATAAGCTAAGCTATAATTACATCTCAAGACATTTTTTCCCCATATATATATATATTTGAAAAAACAAAACACTACACCCATATTTTAAGTTTCTTCCCCTTCACATAATACGCTTTCTGTTTTCCATCACTATTTTTTCTTTTTCATTTCAAACTGAGGGTTTGCTCCTCGGTGGCTGAGAAGAAGCCTGAATTGCAGGTTTTGGCTACTTGGAGTCATGTCAGTGTTCCACTCCAGTTAATGGGGTTGAGTCGCAGCAGCTCTCTCTCTTTCAGAGCCTCCTGGGAATGTGTTAGTGCTCTGTCCCTCCTGCTCTGCTCCATTAGCTGCACACAAAACAAGTACAACTGAGACAAAGAGAAAAAGAAAAAAACGAGACATTTTACTGTAACCTCAAAACATGCTCCAGGAAGCATTTTCAGCATATTTTAGTACGCAGCGGGACTGGTAATGGATGCATAATGCATGATTGGGACCGTACCCTCTTGTTCTCATCTCTGTAGACTGTCATTGCTTTGGTGTGCTGAATTCGCTGCTGTCTCTCACTAGACAGGGCGAGGCGGTCCGCCGCGATGAGATGCTCTGCTTCTTTTACTTTACTAGCCAGCTGCAGCTTCAGTTCCACGCACTTCTCCTCCATCTGCCTCTTTAGCTGCTCTCGTATCTCCTTTCTGTCAGAATAAACCACATATTAATGTCTTGTGCAAAGGTGAGGCCTTGTCAGAGGATAATCTAGAGCTGAAGTGATTTACCTGTACTCTTCTTTCTCACTGATGGTTCCATAAAATGGTTTCCTCCACACCTGATGATACCTGGCACAACAACTTCAACTCAGTGACCATGATTTCATCTTGTTTTGTTGTTTTTTTAACAGTACAACCAAAACAAAAGTCAAGCTATTCCTGGGTGTATCTCAGGTCTCATTCTTTCCACCTGAAATGCTCTCCTCTTTGCATGATCAGCGCCCTCTGGTGGTTATGATGGTGAACAGCGCATGTTTCAAGACTGACGGTGCGTTTATTAACCAAAGGTGGGTGCAAAGGATCCAACCTCTGAATATTCTGCGAATCAGATTTATACATTAGTGCTTTTATACTTACTTGCATTTATTGTGTCTAATTATTTATTAATGCATCTACAGCAACCGCACATCAGGTCGACACCAGGTAATCGCCTCACCTGACTGCTCTTTAGCACACTACCATTGTCTGGGAGAACTGGTAATGTCATTGGAGTCACAGCAAAGCTTGGAGTGTCTTGAGAAACATAAATGGGTCAAGCTACTATAGAGATAGGTGCTGCAATAGAGAGAGAGAGAGAGAAAACAAAACAGAAATGTATGTAATAATCCCCATGATAATTACACTAATACATTTGGTGGCTTTAAAGATTTATTTGAACGTTTTATCCTTCAGGATGGAAACAAATCAAACAAGAAAATACTTTTGTGGATTTCTAAAGCCAGTCCTTGAGCTATTTGTGTCAAAGTTTCAATCATTTGACCCACACATCATCAGAAGAAAGGTAATTGGTTGGATGCTTAACCAAAAAAAAAAAAAAAAAAAAAAAAAAAAAAAAACACCAAGCCTTTTTTGCAGTGAAAACACAACACAAAACTGGTTTTGGAATTTAAAAAAGTCAAAATAAAATTCTAGTAGTTTGCCCAACCTTGACCCTTTGGAACTTTCTACACTGTGCATAAAATCTGGTTCTGTGGCATGAAATTAATTCATTTAGATAATCCTTGCCATTACAATAACCTCTAGTCATGATTTCTCACACAAGGTGACTTCTCTTGCTTGGAATATTTAACCAAACATTTGGTTGTATGCCTATATGCAAACATGAAATCCTTTAATAAAATTTGAGTGTCCCAAGTTTTTTTTTTGAAAAATGTTAATTGCTAATTATCCAAGCCTTCCACCCTGAAAAAAAAGAAGCAAAATTAAGATGCGAAAGTTAATATAATATGCAAATGTTAAAGTAGAGATAAACTTTTCACCAGTCCTGTAAATAAAAAACAGAGGAAATAAATGAAACAATGTTTTCTTACGTAGTCTCATCTTTAGGTCTTGCTCTTTTCTGCTGGAACTCCTGAGTCCAGACTTTGTGTGCCGAAACATCCCAAACTCCTAAAGCTTAAAATAATATGTCTTTTAAAGCAAATGTCCTTTTTACATTAGAATACATAAAAATCTGAGCTTTCCATATATCTGTAATGGCCCCAGTTAAACATTAAACCCAGATGAATCAGAGCATTCAGTCAGTGTTTTGCTTTTGCAACCGTCTCCTTGGGAATCGAGTTTCCCACCCCTCTAATAAAACAGAGCTGCAACACTGACTGAGTGGCCAAGCATCAGCAGACTCAAAAGAGAAAGATTATTAGCACGTGGCAACAAACTAACCAGATAAATACTGAGAACATTTCCAGGCGTGAGCTACATTTCAACTAAACAAGGAAGAGAATCCTTTCATCTGTTAAAATGACTAAAACTCTTTTATTGAACAAGAAATAAAACTTTTTAAAGGGCAAACATTTGAACCTTTGCTGCATAATTTTTATGGGATCCAGATTTAAAAGTGCAAGTGTATTGTTTTGATCTGCTGCAGGCTAGATAACGTCCGTGATTATGTAGAATAGAAGATTTTCTTGCTCGAAGATAAAGTCTTTCTCAAGGTTGAACATTCTTCATATTCCCAACGTTTTATGGTTCTCCCACAGCCAGGCATGGTATTTATTTAACTTGTGATCTTCAGGAGTCACCTATAACAGGAAAATACAGATAATCTGCCTGATTTAGCTTAATTGTGACTTAGAAATAACTTAAAATAGCTCGGGAGTTGAGTTCATTCACCTGCCTCCACTCTTCAACACAGAAGATCCTGTAGGAGTCGTTCCCGTACTTGCCAATACCGTGCAACTCAATAGGGTAGCGCCACTGTTTATTTAAAAACTCATCTAATCAGGAGAAAACACAGTTAGTTTTCTTCCTAGGCAAAAGTTATCCGGCAGAAGTCTAATATCCTCACCGGAGAAGCGGATGATTGTTTTGGCTCGAAGCTCATAGAGCCCAAGTGGCTTCATGAGTTCAGACATGGGCTTCCAGTCGGCCTCCCGGGTCACCTCTGCAGATGGGTAGCGCTCAAAGAACACCCAAAGCACCGGAATGGCCATTTTCCCTGTAATGGAGAACTAGTGAAATACCAGTTTTTTTTTACTGCAGATTGACTCAGGCTGCAGAAATGTGGGACTTTACCACTTGTCTTATTCAGAAAAATAGTGGCCACCAGGAGCTTCCAGGGGTCATGGAAAAGGGTTTCCTGTATGAGGTTGAAGGGAGACCGGGGAGGTGTCCATTTTCTGAGAGATTTCCTCCTGGGTGGGCTGAGTCCTGAGCACAAACACAGAGAACAGTTCTCTAAAAACACAAACGATATCTCAGATATTAGGACGAGTAAAGCCTGATAACAACTGTGCACAAGTTAACCCAATAAACATTACCATCTTTGAGACATTTCGCACTGAAATAAGGGCTTGTTTTCCGCCTGCTCTCCACATTCTTGGATCCTATGAGAACACAGGAAAGTGTTAAATAGATCATAATGTCTGTCATTTTAATATCCTTGAGGTTTTAATGAACGCAAATATGATTTTTAGGGCTCTCACAGACTAGAATTAAGTTGTCATAAAAGCATTACTAAAATTCTGAATTTTAAGCTCGACAGAAACGCAGGGTGTACACACCCTATTAAAGGATTTAACTGTAATTTGCTGTGACAAAGCACACTTGTGTTTGACCTTGTAATTAGCATAATGTAAAGTAATGCTTGGGCTTCCATTAAACAGCTAATGAGATACAAGGCCTTGCAAAAGTATTCACACAGCCTGAACTTTTTTTAACCACATTCTTCAATATATTTATATTTTATAGCCATCTTTTGTCTTAAAGTCAGACCAACACAAAGCAGGGCATGGCTGTGGAGTAAAAGTTGAAAACCGTGAAATGCATTTGTTGTCAGTTTTCTGTTGTTTAGCTCCTCCAATCCTTCAGTAAACTCTAACCAGCTACCGTGTTGCTCCTTAAGAAAAACCTTCCCATGCTGTGATTCTACCACCAATCATGCATCATTTTGTTTCCGTTTTGCAATTTTACACGTTACTTGGTGTAACGTGTAAATCCCATTTTATTGGGATTTTCTCTATCACACAAAATCCCAATGAAATGCACTACAGTTCGAAACATATGATGACTTTTGTAATGTGCTACAAATGGTCAACTTTACTCCTCTGAATCACATTTTAACCTGACAGAGCTTTTGCTTTTGCTGTAAAGTCATGTAAATAAATAAGATGATTTTCTTCATGAAGTGCCATCAAATCACTGATGTTTCAGTTATTTTCTTATACCTCTCTTGACATGCAATTGTAGCTGGAGAATGCTCAAGCTGGACATATTTAGAAAACATAATTGAAAAAAGTTTATGGTTTACAGCATACAAGTTTAGCTAAAAACTAAATGGAAAAAAAAGTCTTGATTACAAACTTTTCTTCGCTGTCAGACCGTGTAGCTCCTACTTACTATTATGAGAATCTCTAACTGGTGTGCAGCTTCCACCACTGTTGTCAGATAACACCTCCTCTCTGTGACTGTGACTGTCAGCATTATCCACTACCTCTGAATTAGACTTGTTGTCATCTTTGCTGTGAGGCTGTGCAACATCTGTGTTTGCCACGTTCTCACTTTCATTCTCGCTCTCAGTGGCAGCTTCAACACTCAGAGTCGGGACCGAAGGCGGCGCGTTTGCCGGTTGATTCCTGGGAGCTGGAAGGAAGGTGTTTTGTTGATCACTGGAAGGAGCCAGTCTCAGAATTTTCTCCCTCAACAGTCCCACCCTCCGGGGGCTCTGGGGTGTATGATCATCATCCGCCAAGTCTGATGAAGATGCAGCTTGTGAGCTAATCTGCTCAGCCTCCTCAGCTATGTCCTCTTGCAAAGTATTACTTTTAGTATCCTCAACAGCAGGTGTTACCTTGCTCTTCCTGACTTTACATCTGGTAGAGGAAACGCTGTTTTTAGATTTATGTCTGGCAGATTTCACTTTTACACCTGTTTTATCCTGCTGTCCATTTGCTTGCTTTTTTGTCCATTTCTCTTGCGTTTCTTTGGAATGATCTGTTTCAGAGCTGGTGAACTTAGTTTTGGATGAGGTGAAATCAAACAGGTTTATGTCCAGGTTCTCTCCTCCATTTTTTAACAGATAATCATGCAAGGATGACTTAGATCGGAACCTCTGCCCACTGGGACTGAAACAAACAAACAAAAAAGATTAGTCATTGATTAGCCATGTGCATGTAAATAAATTAAGTTTAGCCTCCTTCAGTAACTGTCTGCTGGACACCTTTTAATTAATTTCACTTCAAAAGTTCTTTATTATTACTCCAAAAGAAAATGAAATGTTTTTGTAACTGGCTGTGGGAAGAAAGAATCTCTTGTAGTGTTCTGTATTACAGTGGATCTGAGGACGTCTCTGACTGACAATGTTGCATGTCAGTCTGATGAAGAGGATACTCGGGGTTCTCCTTAATGTTGTTCATTTTATGAAGAATCTTTCTATGATAATCTCCAGAGATTCCACTGCAGATCCCAGGACCAACCATCTTTAATTTTTTTTTTTTTTTTTTTTAGGTCCCTGGTTCTGCTGCCCCAACAGATGATGACAGAAGAGACACTCTCAACAACAGACTTATAGAATATATGTAGCATCTGGCAGTACACATAGAAGGACCTAAACTTCTCCGAGATGCAAAGTCTACTCAGCTGTCCCTTCTTGTAGACGACTTAACTGTTAAGGCTCAAGTCCAGTCTGTTGTCCAAGTGAATACTTAGATATTTATACTCATTCACCACCAAGCACCGTTTGACCTAACCCTGTTCCTGCTAAATCCACAATCATCTCCTTTGCTTTGTTTACATTCAAAGCGTTTCTACACCATGCAACAAAGTACGTTGTCCACCAAGGTCTCTATACCCATTTTCTTGTCCATTTCTTTTTAATTAACTTTTTGATATGTAAAGTGACTTGCGGAAAAAACAAACAAACAAACAAACATCGAATCACCTTATTATGTACACGTCCAGTTTTCCTGCAGTCTTGCCAGCTTTTCTCTGCCTCACTTCTCTAACCCATCCATGTGGTAGTGCTTCCTTGTTACTCTCGACCTCCATGTCTAAGCTGATTTCCAGCTCATTTTCACCGTTGGTGAGAGGAAGCTCAGATTCAAGGACGCAGCTCAGACCAGTTTTCACCCTGTCCTCTCAAATGTCTACAGTAAAATGACAGCAGACACAGTTTGCTGTGAAAAAAAAATCCACCGTGCAACACAGAAGAAGCGCCATTCCCCTCCCCCCATTATTTTTATGCAACAGCAAGCGAAGAGAGTAAATCACAATCAAATTAGCGAATTACACCTACCGAATTCATCAAATTTATTTTGCTATGGAGCACAGCGGTCCAAACCAAGTTTTGTTCTGTCAACAGTGGAGCGGAACTGAGCATGTGCAGAAACTCGGAAGCAGTTCTGAGCGTGCGCAGTCCGAGCAGAGCTTGACAACGGAAAACCCGAACTGCAATAACTTGTTGATTTAAAATAAAATCAGGTCGTCTTTTTTATGGTTTATAGCTGAAAATGAGGCCAATTGAAAAATGGAAAGAGACGGTTCGTGATCGGTAAGAGACTCTAACCTTGTGTTTATTTTTTGCCCCGGTCGGAAACTAGGATGTAACGCTAGCTGGATAGCAACGGTGGTTGCTATGTAAACTAGTAGAAGCCAGCTAACGTACATTAGCATCTAGCTATTTATCGAAGGCAAATGATGGACATCTTATGTACGTTAAAAATATGCTTGAAAACGTCTAGTTTGTCGCTGTTAAGTTTGCTAAAAGTCTCTATTTATTGCCACAGATCTAGCTAGATTTTATGGTCTTGTTTATTCGCAAAGTATTTCACTGAAATATTTTCTTTGTCAAGGCGTTTTTTTCTTTGCATTTAATGTTTTCCCAAAAATGTTGTCACTGGTTTATTGCCACTGCAGCTACACTAGAGAACGTTTTCATTCTCTAACCTTAAAAAGCATATGTCCCTTCTTTCCGTTTTTTTTTTTTTTTTTTTTTTACAATTTCTAGCTTTAAAACTCACAATCCTTTTCACATTGCTGATGTACTGATGTGTAAAATTTACTCTAATACAGTCCACGTTTTAACAATTTATTTAGACTTAGGAAACCCTACTTTACATTTACGTCTATCTTTTACCTACATGTTTTTGCAAACGGTTTGCTTAGGGACTTAATACAATACAGACTTTAAATGTTATCACAACATTTTCTGTCGTTTTATAAATATAGCTGTACAGTGTTGCATGTCATTCTTTATGGTCTACAATATTTAAAAATAAAACATTGAAAAATATGTCACACGACTAAAACAACTATAATACTGTCAGGTATTTAGCTATGCAAACATGCTCAGTTAGAGTTTATTATTGCAGACTCATTTTTTTTTAAATCATGGGAGCATTTTATCACACTATATTGTAAACTATTTGTTACTCCCCTCCCCTATGTTATACATCCTGCTTTTTCTCTGGATGTATAACAGTTTTAATCTCTGTACAGGGCGGTGTGTTATCAGCTTTGTTTACATTGATATTGCTTCTTGTTATGCACAAGATAAAAATAAGAAAAATACACTTATAAAACAACATTCTCAAGGGCTTTTTAAGGGTCACCCTCAACATTAAAACTGCAATATGTGATTCTTACTGATAAATGACTCCGCGCATTGTTGCTAATCGACCAATCAATCTTGCGAAAACAAACATTTCAAACAATTTTCTCTACTGCAGTGTTTATGACCTCGCTTTCAAGCCAGATGGCAGCCAAATTATAATGGCTGCAGGGCAACGTGTGCTGGTAAGGCTCACCTTTTATCTTTTCCTTGCGAGGGACATCTCTGCAGAATGCATTGCTGTAACAAATTATGGTTTCTGTTTCCAGGTCTGCGATGCCAAAGATGGGACTATTATTCAGCCTTTAAAAGGACACAGTGATACAGTGTACTGTGTGGCCTATGCCAGGGATGGTACTGAGCTGGTTTTCTATTTGAATGCTTAGGACTTTCTCTATCTTATTCACCTTCAACTCATTAGGAACCATGTTTTTGTGCAGGTAAGAGGTTTGCGTCAGGGTCTGCAGACAAAAGCATTATCATTTGGACTTCTAAACTGGAGGGTATTTTAAGATATACGTAAGTGCTTTTATTATTCTAATAAGTTTTCTTTAGTTTTCAAGAGTAACTGCATTGTTTTATGTCTTTAATGTTGTCGTATAGGGGTTAATGACTTAACAAAGCCAACAAATATCTCTTCGATTCAGTTTGTTTGTGCACCAACAATTCACAGATCATGTTCCAAAGACCTAAGTATTATCTTTTAAAGCAAAACTAGGATGTTTGGCAACAGCTTAATGACTGCTATCTCACTTTGTCAGATTGCAAACACAAACAACACTCCTTTTATGTGGATTTGGATAAGCTGACAGAACTCTTAATCTGCAAAATTTGTTGTGCATTTGCGTTCACTTCACTCTGACATTCCCAGATAAAATTCAGGTTAACCAACAGGATGGAAATTATTTTATAAGGTACTGTAAAAATGCAAAAGTCTACAAAATCCTTAGAGAGGCCCAAAGGTTGAAAATCTCTGTCCATTGCACATTTCAGCCCACAGGTGGCGCTAAATGTATGGCCATCATCCCAAGGGATCAAGTATTGCTACATGGCCTTGAGAGGACCTTGGAATAGTGTTATCTCTTCCAACAATCAAGCCATACACTTCAGAAATGTTTGCCAAAGCCATATTTGAATTGTACTGAAAACTACTCGAACCCTGCTGAATTTTCTGTTTCAGCACAGTTCCCATCCCTCGTTATAACCTATAATGAATCAAGTTTCTGTTCACTCATTCAAAATAGAAAACTGGGTCATGTTATCCAAAGAAAATGCAAGAAATAATTGTCTGTTAATATGGAAATGTGTTTCTCTCCCTGGCATGAATCACACCTATCCCTCATGAAGAACATTTCTTTTCGAATAAGACACAATTGTCTACCTAGTGTACACTGTGCTTTCATTCCATTCGTCTTGCTTTTTTTATTGACATTATCTGCAGCCACAACGATGCAATCCAGTGTGTCGCCTACAACCCAATCACTCATCAACTTGCTTCCTGCTCATCTGGTGACTTTGGTGAGTGTCCAGTCAATCACAGATTATGCATGAGATTGATTGGTCGATTAGAAGTTACTCTTCTATGTGATATCTCAAGAAGAATCACAAAGAGAGCATTATCTGTTCACATTTTTTTTAGGCCTGTGGTCCCCTGAACAAAAATCTGTAAACAAGACTAAAGTGAGTAGCAGAATAACATGCTGCGGGTAAGTTGTTTCTCGACTATCATGAAACACTTTTTTATCTTTTCGTGCAAAACATTGCTGCTTCAACTTGTGTTTATTTAAACTTCAGGTGGACAAACGATGGGCAGTACCTCGCCCTCGGCATGATGAATGGTGTGGTGAGCATACGGAACAAGAATGGAGAGGAGAAGGTCAAGATAGAGCGTCCAGGAGGATCTTTATCTCCAATCTGGTCAATAGCGTGGAATCCATCCAGGTAGGGTTTCTTAGTTACTGTATCATAACATCCATGAGAAATGTTGATTCTTTTTTTTTATTATTTCATCCATCCTGTGTTGTCCATGTTGCTAGCACTGTGGATTTATTGACTGTAAATTGCTTATTTTAAGCGAGGCCAGCAGGTGGCAGTAGTTGACATTAGAGTGGTTGAACCGTGAGGGAGATTATGATGCTTATTTGGAAGAGTCTCTGTTCTCTGCTTCCTCCTCTTGCCAAAACCAGGAGCCCTTCTCTGACTGGGTTCTTTGGAGAAAAATAAAGCAATACAAAAATAAAGTGCAAAGTTAGTCAGCGATGGAATACAGCAGATGTATCGTCAATGAAACAATCCATAAAGTATAATAGTTTGTTTAAAAATGAGCAAGAGGTGTTTCTGGGAAGAAGTTGTGTTTTAAGCTGTAAAGGATTTAGTTTCCTTGGAACCAGACAGCAACACAATTGACAAGATGAATAGGTACATCTGCTTGTAGTTCTTTGTAAGTACAAATGTGATTAAGATGAAACATAGCAAAACTTTCACAATGCCTGCTTGTCACTTACAGAGGAAACCTTTAAAATGAAAATTGGCCTCTGTGGTTTTCAGTGTTGTCATTACTTAACCAACCAAAGCCGCTATCAGCTCAAAAGGCTATGCTTATCAGCACCAATGGCTAAGCTGTTTTTGCTTCACAGGGATGAGCACGACACACTGGCTGTGGCAGACTGGGGTCAGAAACTCTCCTTCTACCAGCTCAGTGGGAAACAGGTGAACGTCAGTAATTGTTGCTATAAGTATTCTCTTCCCAAATACAGCTCAATACCTCACATTTCCCACTTAAATTTTAAGATATCGAAATATACGTGCCGTATCAAATAATACCAACACTGGTAGCTACATATAGTGAAGTCATTTTAATCAGCATAGATATTGACAGCAGGATGAATGCAACATATTTTCAGCCAAACTCTTGAAGGGGTTTGCTTCACAGTCCTCTCAACGCTCTGGTTATTTTTGCTTGTACACTTTGTATACACTTCTTCCTGTTACTCAACTTTCCATTAAAATGCTTGGCTACAGCCAGCTTAATTAGGATTGACATTTTGAGGCTCATCCTCATTGCAGAGGATTTCTATGGTTATTTTCTATTTTTTATTGGTTTAATGGGATTTCTTGATAGTCTGACATACTGTATTTAGCTGTAAACAATTACAATCAATAGTAACAAAAAGACATACTTAAAATCACTCAGTATGTAATCTTAGTTTCAGTTTTGTGAAACTGTGAGTGAACTAAGTCAATTTTTCTATAAAGTCTAATAAATTTAGATGCACCTGTTCATGGTATAAATTCAAATGGGTTTAATATTCTATCTCTACAGGACACCAGGTAGTCTGTATCTTACCAGAAATAACAGTTGACTTTTTTTAAACATTGTAGGTGTAACCCTAGTAGGGGTGCACCGATTGCATTTTTCTGGCCGATCATAGTTTATCAATCTTTAAAAAGCCTGGCTTTCCGATTCCGATTTTGGCCAGTAATTTTTTTTTTGCCTGAAATGTTGCTAGATATAGCAGTTACACCACATTGAGTTGGGAACAGTGAGGTGACTATTGTTAACTGAAAACGTGCAGACATGCCCTGGTGGGTGTGTATGGCGGTCAGTCAAACCTCTCTCACAGCAGGGCAAAAAGAGGACAGTAGACTTTAGTTGAGGTAGATAAGATTGGTGGATAAGATCGGCTTCACACGCAAGTATCGGCAGATCACCAATCTCCCAAAATTGAGGAAATCGGGGCTGATAAATCAGCGTGCAGATAAATCGGTGCAACCCTAAACCCCACAGAATATCCTTAACTGAGTTTAGAATCTGTATCCTGATTGTTGGGGTCTGTTGAAACCATGACTATACACAGGAGGTGATCCTTCCTGCTATGCTTTATTGGCCTACTCATAATCACTGCTTCCTCTTCAATTCCCTGTGGGCAATATTGTAATTACAGACGCATCTGCACTGTTCATTTCTCTCTGGTATATCTGAGGCTTTTTTCCATTGTCATCTCCCTATTTATCAGTTTAAATGAACATTCTGTTTTGATTACAACACCATGGATCGCTCACAAAGAAAGAAAACAAGCAGCAGTTGTCAGGGAGTCCCCCTTTTTCCGCTCAGTGAGAAAAAGCAGATGGATAGAATGGAGAGACCTGATATGATGCTGCACAAATGGACTTTGAACTCTAATACAATAGAGGCTTTTTTAACCACAGACGCTCTCTTTTTCTTTTTTTTTTTTTTTTTCTTTTTTTTCATCAGATTCAAAGGGATAGTTGAATGTAGTGAGGACTTTGAAGTGTGCCGGCCCAGACAGTAGGAAGTGCTGGCTCAGGCCCCTGAGCAATAAACACAAGACATGCTTGTTTTATTCCTGTTTTTAATGTGCTCTTCTCTCTTTGTCGTCTTTAGGTTTTAAAAGAGAGAACTCTAAACTACGACCCTTGTTGCATCAGCTACTTCTCCAAGGGCGAGTACATTGTAATGGGTGGCTCTGACAAACAGGTGTCCCTCTATACTAAAGACGGTGTGCGGCTAGGAACCATTGGAGAGCACAAAGCCTGGGTGTGGACATGCCAAGTTAAGCCCAACTCCAACTACGTGGTGGGTCCACGTCACATTGTTCCATATATCTCAACGAGACCTCACCTTTCCGTGCCCCTGAGTGGGAATGCATGTCGCAGAGAAAGCGATACATTTTTTCTTTCCCCGTTGTGATAACACAGTTTTTAACTACACAGATACACAAGCTATTTCATTTTACAGTCACTCTTTTACAGCTTTTCCTCTCACTATATTTAACTGAAAGTGATGAGGCACACAGGAGAGAATGGGTTCCTGGCAGATTCTCGCAGCTCGGCAGTATAGAGGCTTTAACAACAGGAACATTTTCCCACTCCCTCAGTCTTTTCTTAGAGGTGTTAATAGGATGTACTGCTACATTGTTGTCTCTTATCTAGGTGTGCGGCTGCCAGGATGGGACCATCTATTGCTACCAACTTAACTTCACCACAGTTCACGGCCTCTACAAAGACCTCTACGCCTACAGAGACAACATGACCAATGTCATCGTGCAGGACCTCATCACTGAGCAGAACCGTAAAACTTTACACCTGCATCATGCAGCTCAGTTTATGATGCCTTAGTAAATAATGGGTTGGGTGTCTTTTAGCGTCACATTGACTCACATTGAATCAGTTGTGTTACACTTGCACTACATTACGAGACTTTCTTCGGAGATTATTGCCATTCCATTTGAATAAAATAGTTTTGAATTGAACTGAATGTAATTACCAACACAAGACTTTTCTTAAGTCTGGCTGGGTTCCCACACAGTCTGGAAAAGTTCCAAATCGGAATTTTTATAGTCTTTTCAAGATTTTTACATCTTAAAAATCAGAGTCTATTGGAAAAAAAACATAGAGTATGAAAAAGCATTCGTTTTTTTAGACTTTCCCATCCATCCATCTTCCTCCACAGTACAAGGAGCCATATTTAAAGTGTAACAAGAAGTCTAGTGACATTTTCTGTTTATAAAGGACAAAATTCTCAAAATCAGTCAAACAAGCTTATAGGAACGCTGTTTTTTTTTTTAAAGGTCGTCGTTTTGGTTTCCATACAGAACGTTTTCTTAACAGAAACATTCTGTATGAAAACCAGAACGTATGAAAAACGTTTCCGTTTTCTTGAAAGAAAGCGGAAACATACTTTTTTTTTTGGTCTTAAAAGCAATTTCTATATTATCTTTTGAAAATGTTCTCTCCCCACTTTCTCATGTTTCCTAGTGAGAATCAAGTGCCATGAGCTGGTAAAGAAGATCGCCATCTACAGAAACCGTCTGGCCATTCAGCTACCCGAGAAGATCAACATTTGCACGGACGACTTATCCACCATGGAATACCGCATTACTGACAAAATCTGCAAAAAGTTTGAGTGCAACCTGCTGGTGGTCTGCTCCCAGCACGTCATTCTCTGTCAGGTCTGGAGTCGTCCTTTTTTTTTCTTTTTTTTTTTTCTTTTTTCTCAAATTCATTAAAAACACAGCAAAGCCCATCGAATTATTTTATTAAACTTGCTTTTGACCCACCTGTTTTGTATTTGGCTTCTTTCATAATGAAACATTTCCTTCTTCAGTTTCTCTGCTAAGTCCTTTTGACCCTTGTAGCTGTACAAACATTAGGACGCCATTAAGATGATGAAGTCAGAATGAATTAGTGTTAAACCATTTACTCCAAACCTACGCAACCCAGGAATTGAATAGCTGCTTCTCCACATGTTTCTGCCGAGACCCCAGCTGTACTCGTGTTCCCAACTACATGGGCAGCGTGCGCCTCTCCCCCTTTTGCAACCCTATTCAAGCTGGATGGATAAAAAAAGACAGTTTGAATGGATTGGAAGGGTTATCTTTTTTGTTTTGGGGGGTTCCTCTGGTTTTCGTCAGTGTTTGACAGCGTCTGGTGGGGCTGAGGAACAGCGCTGAGGTTATTTCCTTTTAAATTTGTCTTTGTGTGACAGGGGTGCTTTAGATCTCTCTATTGGACTTGCTTGTGTTTCATGCCCCAGACAGATCCTATTCCTTATATATGGGCTGTGCATGCTTCTGGTAGATTATATCATTGTTTATCTTTGTAGAATTGCTTTCTGACATTGAAACACCCTTTGCCGTGTTTAAAAGAACAACATGCTGCAATTTATTGGACTTATATGAGTTTGTTTTGCTATGATTAATAGCCCATGAAATGATTGAGCTAAAACCGCAATTTTGCCATAATGAATCTTTTAGTCAGGACTGTATGTGATTGTGGTTTCATATTACTTGTTATGCTCTGCACAGGAGAAAAGGCTCCAGTGTCTGTCTTTTGCCGGTGTCAAGGAAAAAGAATGGGTGATGGAATCTATGATTCGTTACATCAAAGTGATTGGTGGCCCGCCATGCAAAGAGGGTCTACTTGTGGGGTTAAAAAACGGAGCTGTGAGTACTTAAAGACAATGTGTTCTCCTACAGGAACTCTGAAATGGTAACCATTCCCTCATGTCAATTCTCTAGGAAATTGGAGAAATGCAAAATTTACAATGTCTTGCAAAGATATCTGTGCAACTTTGCTATCGGAACAACAGCAAACTTCAGTGTTTTTTTGGGGGGGTGTGAGGGGATTATGTGATAGATGAACATAAACTAGTCCATAATTATGAAGGAGGAAAAGTTTTTAATTTTTTTTTTTTCCATAAATGAAAGTCTGAATGTGTTATGCATTTGTATTTAGCGCCTCTCACGCAACACTTAATAAAAACCCATTTTGGTGTTGTAGCAGCTGCAGTCTTTAGGTGTATGTCTATTCCATCTTCACACATATAGAAAAACTGAAATTCCTGCCTTTTTATCTTTGCAAAAGTAACTCAAACTCAGTCAGTTTGAAGAGAGAGAATGTGTGAACATCTGTTTTCCATTTTTTTTGTCTCAGAATCTCAGTTGAATGCAGGTCTGAAGTTTCAATTTATTCATATTTGGTCAGGAACAGCAAAAAGCAAAAATGTTACAAAGTAAGCATCGCCATAGACACAGATCTACACTCCGTGTAATTTGCTGTCCCATTTTACTGGATCATTTTAACGATTCTTTTGAGAAACTGAAACGTTTTGTCTTGTAAAATGTAAAGATGGTTGTTGTGAATCTATAGCTATAAAAAGGAATTGAACTAAAATGGTGCATCCTATCAACTTTGATAAGCTTACTTGTCCTTCTGAACAATATCACTGCCATATTTCACCTGAGTTAAACTGTGTTCAGTGTCATGTGAAGGTCTTTGATCCCATTTAATTGGAAAACCTTCTTCCACATGCTTGTTGTGTTTTCTCCATTACTTGTGGGAAGCTGTAGAGGGAATTTCTTACATCTTCTATTAATTACAGTAGGTGATTTCTAAGGGAAATACTAAAAATACTTGATTTTATTTAAGGATGTCAGACTAGAGGGGATTGAATACAGAACACTACACACTTTCAGATCTTTATTTGTAAAAAAAATATAATATCATATCACAAATATCGTTTGTGTTGGTTTATCATAGGACGCTGCAACTGTTACCCACCAAAAAGCCATTATTTTGGTTTCTGGACGTTTTATTCAGTCCAGCTAAATAAAATGTGTTTAGAGCCTGAAATTTTATGTAACATTTGAAAAAAAACAACAACCTCCAACTGTGATTTTTCATAAAAATCTAAAATAGGAAATATATTGCCATTTTTTAAAGAACCCCATTTTTATTCCTATTTTGAAATAAAGAAAAAAAGAGAATGAATACTATTTATTCTACGGGATGTTGATATTTGTGGAAAATTATGTAAAATACAAAATCACTAATGACAAGAAATATTGTTCTAAAACTCATTATTGAGACTTTTTGTGCTGTTCTCATGTGAACATTTAATACAATTATTTCAATAAAAAAATGGAAAAACAACTAAAACCTGTATTTATTAGTACAGCTATTGCTATCATGACATAGATATCACTTATAAGCAGTTATTAAGAGCTGCTGTGAAAGGACCAAAGACCTTCCGGACCACAGGTTGCAAGTCCCTGTGAATCACAGCAAGCATTTCATCTGCTCAGATTATAATTTTTTTGTTCTGATTTTGTGATGTAGATATTGAAGATATTTATCGACAACCCCTTTCCAATAACGCTGCTGAAGCTGTCGTTGTCAGTGCGCTGCCTGGACATGAGTGCGTCCCGCAAAAAGCTGGCTGTGGTGGATGAACGTAACACCCTCCTCGTCTACGACATCAAAAGCAAAGAACTACTTTTTCAGGTTTGTCAAAAGCAGTACGGAAAAAAAAAAACATCTCAAGGACAGCAAATCGAAAGGTTTCTGAACGGACTACACAAAATCAGCCTGTCTGAAAAAAAAAAAGAAAAACATGGATACATATTAAGTTTCTGCAAGCAGCGCAGGGAGACTTTAATTTTGAAGTATGTCTTTCTGGCTCTTCTTTGTTTCGCAGTGGCCTCTACACCTTGACTTTCTCATATCCTGTCATATTTTCTCTGTAGGAGCCTAATGCTAACAGTGTTGCCTGGAACACCCAGTGTGAAGACATGCTGTGCTTCTCCGGGAACGGCTACCTGAACATCAAGGCGAGCAACTTCCCTGTGCACCAGCAGAAAATGCAGGGCTTTATGGTCGGCTACAACGGCTCGAAAATATTCTGTCTCCACGTCTATTCCATGTCTGCAGTCGAGGTGCCTCAGGTGGGTTGCATTTTGTTGGCCTGTTTTAATCTAGATGTAGTGACGGTTTTCCCCTGCAGTAACAAAGAGTTTTATAGCACAACCTTGAGATGGTGGTCAAAATGTCCTGAAGGTTATTTGTTTTAGAAGAAATATTTCACTGCTTTGCAACTTTTACACATTTTCTCACATTGCGTCCTCAAGCTTCAGATTTTCTTACTGAGATTTTGTGTGTTAGACCAACCCAGTAAGGTGAACATATTTATGGTAGTTTCATATAACTTTTCTTTAAGAACTTGAATATTGTGGCCTGCGTTGCATGGTGTTCGGCCCATCTGAGTTAATACTTTATAATTCAGTACAACTTTTTTAGAGTTTGTCTCTACCAGCGTTTAAATTGGTGTTTTGACCATCTTTTTTTGCAGAAATGACTCAATCAGACTTGACAAGAAGCCTCTGTTGATAACAATTTTCAAATCTTGCCACCGACTTCTTATTGGGTTAGAGTCTAGACTTTGACTCTGCCATTGCAGCTCTGGGTGTATGTTTAGGATCTTTGTTCAACTCGAAAGTGAATCTCCAGCAATCTGAAGTCTAAGATAGAAAGATCTAGAGAGTGCATCATATATGTTTGGTCATGAATTAAGCTAATCATAAATTATACAAGATTCTGACATATAAAGTGTGCATCTTCACAAATCTTCCGGAGTTATTATGAGAATCTTTGCCACTTGACAGAACAGTTGGATTTATACTTTGATTAAATGACATACAGTAATTGCTGTCTACTAATTATGTGATTTATGATTGTAATTAGTTGCTCTCCTCTTTACTTAAGGTTAGCAAAGTAAAGGGGGATGAATACAAATTCAGATTTTTACTTATAAAGAATGTGTAAAACTGCCTTACAGATCCTTTACCTTCCACTTGAGTATATTGTTCTACTTTTTGTTGGTCTAAAGTATAAAATATCAACAAAAAAGACATAAATATCGACAGAAAAAGTTGAAGGTTGTTATTTGTAGCATGACAAAATGTAAAACTCTCTGATACCGTTACATATATTCCTCTACCTTCCACTTCAGTTCTACTTTGTGTTGGTCTGAAGCATAAAATATCAATAAAAAAAAGTTGAAGATTGTTATTTGTAAGATGGAAAAATGTAAAACTCTCTGAGACCGCTACATTTTCTCTGCCCAGTCAGCACCCATGTACCAATACCTAGAGAAGAAGATGTTTAAGGAAGCTTATCAGATCGCCTGTCTGGGTGTGACAGACAGTGACTGGAGGGATTTAGCCACAGAAGCTCTGGAGGGACTTGACTTTGAAACCGCCAAGAAGGTGAGTCAGACACACCAGTTTAAGAAATGTGTCATTATCACACACAAGATTGGTACATTTAGTTGAATCAGCAAAAAAAAAAAAACAAAACAAAAAAAAAACATAAACAATAGCAGACATTCATGCACAGCCTTTCTCAATGGGGTTTATCTCTGAAACATGGAAACAGATCTTTGGACTTTATCCAAGGAGCAAAATAAACAGTGGAACGGTGTTTTAAATTTCTTGCTTCTCGTGTTCATTTTGGTTTGGATTTGTTAGAAATACACATCCATCACTGTTAAAAACAAAACAAAACAAAAAAATCTCCAAGCATTTCACATATTTTAGTTTCATTAGAACAGAGATTTTTTTGTGTTTGTTAATGCTTCATTTGCAACAGATGAGGATATCCTTAAATCACATCATGACATTTATACTTATTGTTATTATACCATGGTTATAATTTACTGCTTTGTTTGAAATGAAAACAAAATAGAAGTGTTCTTTTTTTTTTGCATGAGGTTTTGTTTGTTGCCAGTGCTTAATGATAGGAAGATTTGCTTCATTTCAAATAATGCCAAGGTTTTTTTTTTTTTTGTTTCATAAAACCCAAGTTGTTTAGTTAAGTTGTTGAGCTGTTTTAGGCTGAATGTCAGAAGGTTTCTCAGGTGAGGAATTTAGAAAATAGTCTGTAGCTCAAGAGGTTAATTACTCTCTAAAAAGGGCTTTTGAAGACGCTGAAGCTAGTGATCTGATTATAAGAAAAAAATAATTTAATCATACTATTTTTCCATTCTCAGGCCTTTATTAGAATAAGAGACTTGCGCTACCTGGAGCTGATCAGCAGCATTGAGGTAATGTCTGTTTATCAGAGGAAAGAAAAAAAAATCATACGTAAGTCGTACGTCAATGTCCTTCTCATCTTTGTCTTGTCCTCCCATTAAATTATACATTACCTTATTAAAATAGGTAATTTGAGGATAATATGCCATAGACCAGCACAGTATTGCATTATTGTGAATTAGAAATAGGAGGATGCATGTTTTTTTTTAATGAACATCTGAAAAGCAGAATAAGATATTTATTCATCCCTGTTGAGTCAGTATTTTATAGAATCACATTTTGATGAAGTCACAGATTCGAGTCTGTTCTTGTTTACGTCATATCAGCGTTGAGCGTTGAGAAAACCATTTTTATTTAATAAGCAACTCGAGTTCAGTCAGATTGGCTGGAGAGTGTCCATGAAGCTCACTTTTTCGTGTTGTCCACAAAATCATTGTCTAGCCTTTGATTAGGCCATTCTAACACACGGAGATGTGCTTTGATCTAAATCATTCCTTTGTAGCTCTGTTTATAGTCACTGTCCTGCTTGAATTTCCTCTCCATTCTCAGATGTTTCAACATTGTCCTGTGATTAAGTTGAACCAACCTCTTATTAATTCTGACCAGCTTCTATGTCCCTTCTGAAGGAAAGCAGCCCAAAGCAGCCCAAAGCGCCCAATCGCACCATATTTAATGGTGAGAATGGGTTGTTCATAGTGATGTGCTGTGCAGTTTTTCCATGATACATGCAGGGCTAATCATTTGCGTGCAGGGCTAAAAGTTACAATTTACTCTCATGAGCATCCTCCGCCAGATGTTTGCTGTGTCCCCTGCCACGGCTTATGAGACGTTCAAAGCCTGCTTTAAGCTTCTTCACTTTATTCCTGCTGTGCTCCCTTGATCTTAATGATGTTGTTTGTTTATGTCGTCTAACAAAGTTCTAAGGCCTTTATTTAGCAACTGGATTAATGCTAGCTTGCGTCTGTGACACAAAATGTGAATAAATAAATAAATAAATAAATAAATAAATAAATAAATAAATAAATAAATAAAAATGGAGGGGTGTGAATATTTCTGTATTTCTAGCTGCTGTTGTGCAGATGTGTGTACATGCAGTTGACTGTCCACGCACAGTTAACGCTGACTGATTTCAGGAGAGGAAGAAGCGGGGCGAGAACGACAACGAGCTCTTCCTGGCAGACGTCTATGCCTTCCAGGGGAAATTCCGCGAGGCAGCTAAGCTCTACAAACGTGCCGGCCATGAATCCAAAGCCCTGAGCATGTACACCGACCTGCGCATGTTCGAGTACGCCAAGGTGATTGAAGCGTTTACTGACAGAGTCGTAGCAAATTGCGTGCAACTCAGCTTTTTTACAAATACAAATAAAAAAATAAAAAATAAAACCCTGTGAGGTACTGCGAGCTGTATGAGTTGAGAACATGTGGCTTTTCTTTATTATGTGGAGAAATGCCAAGTTGGGGCCCTGTGCTGTGTTCAGACAGGCCCCTTTAGCCGTCTGTCTTTCATCTCCTCATACATCACCGGAATCACATCATACATCACCTGATCATTGCACAGATGCCACACTTTTACACAAATACTTTGGAACAGCACAAGGATGGCTCTCCTAAATAGTTATTATTTAAACTACATATAAATGTACATACAAACTGAATATATATGTTCTGTCTTTGATGCTCCTGTGGCATTGTTTTTTTAATGGAGGTATTACATTTTAGTTCCGAGGAAGATGACACAGCTATGACTTATTCATGTATATTTCTGCATGCATATGTGTGTCAGATTGTATCTGTGCGATGTGGCAGCTGTATATTTTTGTGACTGTGTGGCCATCTGGCCGCGCAGCCTGTTTGTTTTAGGTAGGAAGGACACCGGAGGGAAAGGCTGAGGAGCTGCCTGATGTTTGTCCGATTCTCTTCCTCCTGCCTCAGACCTTTACAGCTTGAATGGTTTAGATGGTTTAGTCTGAGCAGGGTTTTTTTTTTTTTTTGCTCTCTCTAAAGATTACTTTCTAATGGAAATAAGATCCTGTCCGGCTTAGGTGGATAGAAATTGTATGTAGAATTATGCCCAGTGAACCGTGTTATTTTTTGGTACTTTATATCTTCAAAGTTAATGTAGTTTACAAGATTTTAAAATGGTACACCGACACGAAGTACTGCATAATTGTGAAGTGGAGGGAAAGTTTTCTTTACAAATGAAAATGTGATAAGTCTGTTAGATGTATTCCCTTCCATAAGTTAAAACTTCGTAGAACCACCACTCCGCTCTTCTTCACAGAGTCCTTTGCCAGTCTGGAGTTTGACTAGACTGAACTAAGACACAAATAAAAACAAATAAAGTATGTTTGAATTTGAATTTTAAATTTCATTTCACTGCCTCTGCTGGAAGTTGAGTGTCTCCCTCAGTCTCAAATATTTTGCAGCATATACCAAGTTTTCATCCAGCATCGCTTATATTTAGTTGCATGCTCCGTTCCAATAATGTTTACCAGCCTCCCGACCCCTTGTTGATGAGTAGCAACCTCATAGCATGATGCTGCCACTGCCTTCTGTTGTAATTATTAAAAAACAAAACGCACACAAAAAAACTGTTTATGTAGATTAGTTCACATGGCTTTTTCTGATCAGTACTATTGATATATTTCATTTACTTTTTTTCAGGACACAATTTATTTTAAGGTAGCAAATTTAATATGTTTAACTGGTTTCACAATATTTTGCAACGATTACAATGGGTAACTCAGCATTTCCGTGTTACTTAAGTAATTTGATTTCTCTCTTTCCAGGAGTTTGTTGGTGCTACAGACCCACAGAGCTCAAAGTTACTAATAACGAAGCAGGCAGATTGGGCTAAATGCAGCAAGGAGCCACGAGCTGCAGCTGAAATGTACCTGTCAGCAGGAGAACACGCGAAAGCTATAGATATTATTGGAGAACACGGCTGGGCAGACATGTAAGTGCCTTTCACTTTAGGAGATATTTTTCTCCTGACATATCTTTATGTTATTAGTACACATATATTTATTTGTTTGTTTATTTTTTTTGTAGGAAAAAATACCTGTTTTTATCATAGCTTTTAAGAGTTAGACATTAGTACTTCATACTTACAAAAGAAATATCCTGCTCATATTTCCAAAATTCAAAGCGTCTCAAGTATTCGGCAACCTGAGGGAAGGAAATGACATTCACGTCTCTGTTGAGTTACACTCACTTCTCTGTGTAGACAAATAGATAAGCGGTGGCTGCTTCAGTCGTCCTGCTGCCTCCATCTGACACGCTGCACACGTGTTGTCGCGATCCTCCTACGGTGCTTCAGGTGGATCAGAGGGGCTCAGCACAGTCAGAGCTCTTTAACCTGAATCAGATTCAGGTTCGGACCCTGACTGATTAAAATTCGTTCCTGGGTCATGAGCATGATGCAGCAGGTGGCAAGCTGATGGTTTACCTTCACTCACCCTATCTGTGTACCTATTCCCCTCTTCTCGTGTAGGCTGATCGACATCGCCCGCAAGCTAGACAAGGCCGAGCGTGAACCGCTGGCGAAGTGTGCGATGCACTTTAAGAAGCTGAGGCACCATGGCTATGCCTCAGAGACTTATTCCAAGATGGGGGACTTGAAGGCTTTGGTGCAGCTGCACGTGGACACGAGACACTGGGAAGAGGTCTGAGACACTTATTCAGCTCATCAGGATGACTCGCTGTGTGCAGAAAAGTCTCGAGAGAGTTGTCAGTTTTATTGAATTATTTACTTGGGGAAAGAATAGAGAAATAGATTTTTTTCCCCAAGTTTATTCCCTTTCTCATCACATACATAGTAAATATGTGAATTAAAAAAAATAGGTTGCTCAGAAATAAAAAAAAAATAAGTGTGCTTTGCTACTATTGATTTGAATGTATGATGCATATGTCATCATAATCATTCAGTTTTTTTTTTTTTTGGTCTAGTCCATACATACATGCTGTGTCTACATCTTCTCATAGGTTCTACTTGTATTTTTTTATGACGTCTAAGAGAATTTTGACTGAACTTATTATTTGAAAATAGAAATGAAAATGACCTGAGAACTATACACATTCAAGTCTGAAAAATATAGCATATTTGGCAGGAAAAATGTTTCTGAACAACCCCGCAATACAGTAACATGAAACCGTTGTTAATAAAGTGCTTCATGAGCCACAGAGTAAACTGTATTTTATGGCTTGTTTAGTTTGGCAGGGAACTCCAACAAATAGTTTGTCAGAATAACAGAGTAACCATGGCTGAATGCAAACAAGAAGACATGTCTGCCTGATCTCCTCATTTACTGACAAATGAAACCACAGGCCCTCCAGAGCCGATCATCAAGATGCTGATTTCTCTGAATTTGTGCCCACATTGTGATGAGCCTGTGAGAAGTTCAAAACAAAATGCTGCATCAGCTTGAAACTTTACACAACTTTCAATCATGCTCCTGCGTCGCAGCAGATCATGCCGCTCGTAGGAAAAGGAAATACTGCATTTCTTTAATCCATCTGCAGTCTGTAATCAAATTAAAGGCAGTGCAGAGATGCATATGGATGATTTGCATTTGGAATCGCTAGAGCCAAAAGCAGAACATCAAATCTCAAAGACATGGTTCTCGGAGTATGTCTTAATCCTCAGAGAGCGAGAAAGGAGAAAACATGAGGAGGGTGCCAGAGGTTTAGGGAACACTTTGGTTTTATGTGCTTCTCCCAGGGAGCCAGACCCCAACACAAACTTGGCTACATCATATGGATGCCATTTTTCTCTCAAGCAAAGTATTTTTAAATGACTTTGAGACCCCACTCAAAACTTTTCGCTCACTCCAAAGAGTGTGAGCGATGTGTGTTTCTTGGCTCTCGTTGTGCCACAGGACATCGAGGTTAATTAGTCACTTTGTAAGGCAAATTTCTGCTCACTGGGCCCCACAGCAACTCTTTGTTTCCTGTCATTCAAACAGCGATACGGTTGTAGTTGTAGCCGAGTGTGAAGCCGGCTTCGCTTGTACATTCCTCTTTGTCTTCAGTTAATTAATAATGTTGTAGAAATGTTGTGACTTAAAAAAAATGTACAGTTAACTTGTTTTTCCCTAATGAGTTACAGCTGGGCCTTTACCAGCCCCGGGCCATTTAACCACGTTTTCTATCTTGTACCAACTAACTGAACACCGATGCTCTATTAAGTGTAATGTTTCCTTTGTCCTCTCAACTGTTAATCTTCCAGGCCTTCTTGCTGGTGGAGAAGCACCCGCAGTTCAAATATGACGTCTTTGTGCCTTACGCCCAGTGGTTGGCTGAAAACGATCGCTTCGAGGAGGCGCAGAAAGGTCAGAGCTCCAGCCTCACCTTTACTCAGTCGATTTGTTTCTGGAATACGATGCATGTATTATCGTCTTTTTAAAAACCCGTGCCTCCAGGAACAGGTTTCTGTGAACATATATAGAGCATACTTTAAGTTGGTCTACATATGGAAGTGATAAAACCTGCTGGGTTTGGACACAGACTTTTTTTTTTTTTCACAACTTCCTCAAGATTTTCCATATCCCCCGTAAAACATGATCCTCTTTGCCAGAGCAGAGCAGGACACGGCTCGGCTGCCTGTTCAGTGAGTGACACGCATGCTTGCCTCTAATCACCAGTGCTACAAGCGGCTCTGATGATGATTACCAACTCTAACCATAGTCATAATCAGCTCATAGATTTATAATTATAATCTCAGCAGGCATATTTCCTCTCCTACATAATCTTCTTCTGCTCGTCTCTATGTGGGATTTATGACTGATTGTGTTTGGGCTTGCTTATAGGCAGGCGTTTAGGTAATTGTGTGCTTTTTAGGGAGCTGTTGAGGCAGTATTGTGTTACCAGTGATTGTGATGTCTCAGTTTCTGGCTAGTCTCATACTCAGTGCACTGGTGTTTCTCTGTGACAATCTCAGAAATGGTTATCATGGCTTAAAGTGCTAAAGTGCTTTAGTTGTTGTTTTTTGTGGCTTTTTATGGATAACAATTGAGCTCCAAAATGAAATAATGAGCGGTTATTGGCTCCACAGTAACAGCACACAAAATAAAACTTTGTGTGTTTTTTTCATTTCCATTTTTGAATAGTTGAATGAATTAATATGCCCAAGATTGTCTGGTCTTGTCATAATGTCTTTCTTGAGTCTGACAAATTATTTAATGAGCTATTTTTCTATGCAGAAAAAGACTTTTCTTATTTGGATGCTGTTAGAAATTGCTGCTCTTAATAAGTGTCATCATTTCTAATTCTTTGAATGGGAAACGATGCTACCATTTTAGAGCAGTAGAGATTTCTAAAGCTCAAAAATCCCTCAAATAAGAGCCCCAGTCCAAATGAATTTTAAAACAAGATGTTTAGGATGCTGGACAAAAGCAAAACAGGCTAAGGAGATGGTGATATTAAAGGATATTTACTTGAGTGCCGCAAAATATCCAGTTCCCCCAAAACTTTACTTTGAAGGATTTTGTAGAGATGGACCAAGAAATGGGTGAAGGATGTTAGGAAAACACATGAAATGAAGGTATCAATGAATATTGTGAAGACCCTGTGGATTATTTTAAGTAAACAAATACAGTACTTAAACTAAATACATACAAATACATAACTAACACTTAGCAGCAAACGCAGAACCCAGATAGCAACTAGTCTATCTAGATGCTGAAAAAAAACAATTGGACTCATTATTTCCACCTTAACAACATCTTATGTTTTTTTGAAATGATTTATGGTTACTTATGCTGTTTTGACAGTGAAACAATCTTGATGTAGCTTCTTAATGATTTGATTGCCCTCCTGTAAGCATCTTTACCTGCAATGAACGAAAAGCATCATCAAATGTTTTCTGGCATTGAGATACTGAATGCATAATCCTCAAATACTTAACTAAGACTTGTCCTACTCCAAGTAGTTTGTTAAATTTGTGATTTCTTGCACTACCCTGCTTTTGATTGGAATTGCCCAGTTGTCACCTAAATTTGTTCTGACTGCTGACCAACAAAAATCCAGTTTTATGAAATCTATGGTTGCAGATAATGTAAGGGGTACCAGGTTGCACCGACAACAACACTTTTCTGTGGGGATGTCAATACCGAAAGAAGGAGATTCGAGGTTAGCTGTTTGTTCTGCCAAAAAGGTGTTTGAAAACAAGACAGCGGAAGCTCAGAGATGTAAGAAGTTAATAAAATAACAAAATGGGTTTTCATCTTTTTTGAGCTTTCAACCTCTTTCTGCCAGCAGGATGATGAAATTTTTTGCAACCTTTTGGAAATCTCAGAGTTAAGGTGGCGGGAGGAAAAATACTTTGAAAGCTGTTCATATACCTTATTGTATTCTGTTTTTAAATACATATTCTGAATTGGCCAGAATCGGTATTAGCATGCAAACGAGAGTCGAAAGTTAACCGCATTATCTGGTAGTTATGAGTTTCTGTTCAGGTTTGTTTAACAGTAGATTTTATCTGTATTACATGCTGCTGCAGCTAGATGCTTTACCCCTTTGTCCTCAGATTATACAGCCAAGATATTATTTATCTTTGTGGACAAATAAATGGTTATATATATGCCAGCTTTTATAATAATATAACATGTAAAATAACATGCATTTCTGTTTGTCTCTAAAAGCGAGCTCAAATTAGAAAATATGGAGCACAGTCTGCAGATTTGTCAGTTTGTGTTTGGTGTTTCTGTTAGTTGGGAGTTTGGGGTTTGTTGTCGCTAACAGTAACCAAAAGCAGCTGAATGTGATTTCTATCCAGTTAGGCCTTCTAATATATGTTTGCCAATAATGCATTTTGACCCTTGCAGAGCTCTGTGGGGGCAGGGTCACTGCTGGGGTCGACTCCTAAAAGCTGCTTCTAATTACCCAGTGATAGGAACACAGAGACTAGTCTCATGTTTATTTGGACCTAAAAGTAGAAGTGCTTTGGTGTTCAGCAATATTTTAAGAACCGCCTTCATAACTGGACTGATCTGCAGCTAGTCCTTACATTAGAAACACTTTACCTGTTATCTGGTAAATACATCACTTTTGACATTTATTCCCCGTGCCTCGCGCATCGTAACATTTATTTGTCACATTAAAACTACAGAATTAGCTGTATTTCATTGGGACCATAAGACGCTGTCCTTCCAGAGCTAGTTTTGTAAAGAACCCAGAAAACATGTGTAGCTACAAGAAATGGATCGGCGATTGAGGTGAAAGGTGGATCTCAAGCACAAATGCATGAACGATTAGGTGCCATACTTTAAAAGTGTATAACAAATCACAACAAAACTAAAAAAAAAAAAAATGTATCACATAAAATCCTAATGGAAAACATTGAAGTTTGTGGTTGTAATGTCACTTAACAGTAACAGTGATATGTAACTGTGCCAAGCATTAATGACGAGGAATATAAAACCTTTCCCAGTATTGCTTTCCTGATGTGTGAAATGGTTCCTTGGAAGACCAGTGAAAAACACCACATGGAGTCTCTCTTGAACTCGACTGTATGAAGTGTTGCTTCATTAAATTGGCTTTTGAAGACCCACAGGAGCAACTGACTGTTGATCTTTTCCTACTTGTCAGCATTTCACAAGGCCGGGCGTCAGAATGAAGCAGTAAAAGTCCTGGAGCAGCTTACCCACAATGCAGTGGTGGAGAACAGGTTCAACGACGCAGGCTACTATTACTGGATGCTGTCTATGCAGTGTTTGGACATTGCCCGAGGTGAGGAACGTCAACTGTGAAGTCTTAAAAACCCAGTTTTTTTTTTTTTGTTTGTTTTTTTTTGTTTTTGGCCATGAAGTTTCACCTTATTACGATTTTGTGCATCTGAACCAGAAAACACAGAACAGAGGAAGGAAATGCTGGAGAAGTTTGAGAGCTTTCAGCATCTTGCTGAGCTTTATTACGTCTACAGCTCCATCCAGCGTTACACGGTGAGACTCTAGAACTTTATAAGTTTTAATTCCGCTTAACTCAAAGACACAAAGACCAGGACCTAAGTGAGTAGCTGTCAAATTTAAACTGCTTAGACCAGAAATAGTACCTACAATGTGGTTAGAGGCCTATTTTTGTTCACTTATACGTGACTTACGATTTCACGCACACAGAGAATAGGTCTGGCTTTGCGAGATTATGTCAATCCACAGAATGATTCAGTTTTAAATGGAAATTAAGATAAGCACAGAGAGTGTCAGGCGAAGCGAACAAAAGAGAAAATAGAAGGCATTAAGTTGAGGTTACAGTTCACTAAAGGGAAATATCCCACCCATTATTGGACTTCTAAACCCCCCTGACCTCTGTCGCTAAGGTAAAAAGCTCCTTTATGGAACAACATGACAACCTCCTGAGTGGCCTTCTCCTGCCCCCCAGGCCTCATATGCCTCAAGACAACACAGTTCCTGCTTATAAGGGTTTTGTGTGAGTTCGCGTGTGTGCGCGCGCGTGTGACCTGGCCTGTGTCAGTGTGCTCAGTTTGTTGTTTCAGCTCCTTCGTTCTGTCTCTCCGCCGTGGTCACACCCTCGCAACAACAGAGGCATCTCTGTGATCCAGACCAGAGCAGGAAAACCTCTATTTATCACGCTAACTCTCCCAGACAGGCGCTATAGATTTAAAGTTATCAACTCTTGGGGATGAAATGCTTTTAGTGACGGCTTTAGAAAATTCATCTTTGCCTTCCAGGGCACTCCGAGGACGGATAAGACGCAGCAGCGGGTTAGCCTGCTTTAGGACAGGTTGAAAGATTATAGAAATAAGAGTGGGAGTAAAAGAAATGGAGCTTTTAAAGTGGTTATCAGATATTTAGGTTATTTTTAATCCATACCACCCTCGTCTCTTGTTATAAATAATTTTTTCCATCTTTAGGATGAACCTTTTAGTTCCCACATGCCAGAGACAATCTTCAGCCTCTGCAGGTTCCTGCTGAACAACCTCACCAAGGATGTACTTCCGGGGATTTCTAAAGTGTATCCTTTTTCTCAATGAAAGTAGATTTAACACACCAAGATGTTTGCAGTAGGGTGGACTTTACCTCTTTCCTACAACAAATCGCTCCAAAATCAACACTGGCTGGCAGTAGCAGCAGCAGCAGCAGTGATGACAAAGCAGAGGAAAAGAGATAAAAGTTGGGAGAGAACGGAAGTGTTGGCGCCACAGCAGAGACCACTCTGCCGCTGGGGGAAAGAAAAGCCGTGATGACGGGGAGGAGGCGATGCCAGCAAGAGGCACTTAGTTGGTTTTCTAAACAAGTGGTTTGATTACTGAACTCTGTGCACACTTTCCTGTTCATGAACTCAACGAACAATTGGTTTTAATTTGAACAAACAGATTTCACCCCACTAAGAAGCGCACAGCGCAACCCATCCAGGAGCTTGTGTGAGGAAGGAAAGCAGGGCCTTGGAAGGGGAAATCCACCCCAGCAGCTGGGATCCTCTGTGGCTGAACCGAACTGCTCCGACAACTTTGAAGTGAGATTTATGAACTTAGCGGGAAGGTGTTGGACGTTGTGTGAGCTGTTGGACACAGTGTTGCAAATAACGCCCTCCCCAGCCCGCCGAACTAAACACTTTACACAATAGAAGGACGTGTGTTTATCAGGAGTAGCAGAGCTGGGTGTGTAGGAGGAGCTGGAGTGGAATAGTGTCCCGATATAGAGCTGTTGCCTCTGCAGCTGATTGACCTGTGCTTTGCACTCACAGAGCTGCTCTCCACAATCTGTTTTTATATAATTACTAATAGTTAGCAGTTCTGTTCCGACTCTCTGCCAAATGTGGGTGATGTAATTTATTTATTTATTTATTTGTTGCTGCTACTTTAAGGATCTGATGCACCAAGAAATGAACTAGTCACCAGATTTGACTGATTTTTTTTTATTTTTTTTTTTTACATTTGACTGACCATGACCAATGATCGGGAGATCAAAGATCTTTTTTCCAATCTGGTGCCTCTCGATCATTAAAAAGTTTATTTATTGCCATAATTTAATTTCAAAAAAGTAAACCTAAGATAGATTCATTACACACAGAGTGATATAATAAAAGGTTTTTAAAAGATTTTAATCATGTTGCTGATGAGTTCAAATATTGAAATTTAAGTGCAGAGCTGTTGAAAACTCTCCTTCACACATGATGTTCACAGAAAGGCTCCTTAAATCCCCCTTAGAGTAACATTAATGACCTGCGTTGTGAAGTGTGCCAGTGAAGCACAACAAAAAGATGCGCTGGTATTGTAAAAGGGTAGATGAGATTTGCTGTCTTTCTCTTTTACAAGTTCCTCTTGTGAATATTTTACTGCATTTTCGAGTTACTGGTGATGCAGAGAGAAGGCTCTGCTACCTCATCGTCTCTTAAGAAATCATTCATTTATTTATTTTGCATAAAATGTTAAGTATTTGTTTCTATTTACAGCCAGTCAGTTAGACTGATATAACTGGTTGCCAGACATGTCTCTGATCAGTGTATCCCTGCACGTTGTGGCACAAAAGCCTTAACCTGACTGTTAGCAACACCTTGTTTGCTCTGGCCAAGGAGAGTTGCAAACTGGGAGCGTATAAGTTGGCCAGGTATTCCTACGAGAAGCTGCAGGAGCTTCACATTCCCTCACACTTAGTGGAGTCCATAGAGCTGGGCAGCCTCATGATTCACTCCAAACCCTTCCACGACAGCGAGGTGTGTTGAAGACTTCAATTAAAATCCCTGTCTTGTTACCTGTTGGGTAAAGTTTTCATGTTTCCTGCAGGACTTTATTGAGGACATGATGTGCTACCGCTGCTCCACAAACAACCCGCTTCTGAACAGCCAGGGCAGCGTGTGCATCAACTGCCGGCAGCCTTTCATCTACTCCGCTTCGTCGTACGGTCAGTGACGCGAACGTGCTGTGTGTTAACGCTAACGTGAGATCTTATCGTTTCGTTGTTTTTCCATTGTTTTGCACACGTTGTTTGTGACACAGAGGTGCTGCCTCTGGTGCAGTTCTACCTGGGGGAGGGAATCGGTGATGAAGAAGCTCTGTCCCTCATCGACCTGGAGGTTCCTCACACAGAAGATTGCAAAGCACAAAGCCCCAACGTGGGCAGCAGTGGTATCCTTTCATCTTCAGCTTATTATCATATCTGCACACAAAGTGACAGATTGTTCACTTGATGCATATGAATTATTAAGTGCTCATTCTGCAGCTGCCCTTACAAACAGCACACCTCCTCTAATTGCAGCACGTGGCTCTCCTCTGTCTTGTGACAGTCCTTAGAAGCTGTTTAGTCTGCGCTGGCCTTGATTTCGTGCTTGTGGGTAAGCTGTCAGAACTAAGTCATCTTAGTCCTCGCGCTAATAGGGTTAGTGAGGCTCTCCCGTCTCATCTTAATGACACTAACTCTCGAAGAGCCATAGCCACAGCCCTGCTGCGGGGATTAACCTGCATTAGCCAGCAGACTCTCAAGGGCACCGAGGTGTGTTGTGTTCCTCCAAGGCCGTGAAGTGACTGACAGGCACAACTTAAACACATTGTCTCCCAGAACTCGCTCTCAGATGCCAGTTTATCTGGAGCTATCCTGTTTTGCAGTTGTCATTGTGGAAAACATTTGTAAAAAAACGTAAAAAAAAAAAAAAAAAAGGTTATTTGCTCTTCACTGATGCCAAGCGGACATGGAGACTCTGAGGATAGACGACGGGTTGGTTAATTCAGACGACGATCCGTTTTCAGCCAAAATGAGCTTCGAGGTAAGAAAGGAGAGGAGAAAATAGATGAGGTGATTAATATTCTGCCAGCTGGGTGAGCCAGCTGGAGACAGTGAAAAGACGGAGGCCGTAAGAGGATGTGTTTGTGTTCATCCGTGTGTCCGAACAGCAAGGGGGCTCCACCTTTGTCCCCGTCAAGGTGAGTCGTTCGGTGCTGCGCTCCATGAGCAGAAGGGACGTCCTGATCAAACGCTGGCCCAAGCCGCTCAAATGGGAATACTTCCGCTCCCTGCTGCCGGATGTGAGCATCACCATGTGCCCCAGCTGCTTCAAGGTACTGAATTTACATACCCAGCGCTGCAGCTCTCGCTAAAATGGTCTTAACTGGCTGAAACGGATTTTCAATTTAGTTTGAGATCTGACTCAAACGGAAGTTTGACCAATTGCAATTGTTTTAATTATTTTGACTGAAACATGTACAAGAGAAAAAACAGTGCTGCAGTGTCTTGAGGAGGTGGTAGTTTTAAATCCAAATGAAATTTGAGTGATTTTCATTTTTATCCATCGATAATAAAAGTTTTATTTAACTCAAAAAGTTAATGAAATTGAAAACCCTTGTTTGATCTGGGGGGGTTATTTGGACTGAAAATGGTGTGATTTCTTAATTTTGGTCAATATAATAAACAGAGAGAGAGAGAAAAAAGCACACTGTGACTTGTGGATCACCATAATTCTCTGATTTCAATCTCTAGATTGATGGTTGATCTGCTGCTGCTTCCTTCTTGTTTTCTAACGTTTTCTTACTGTATTTTCTTGCAGATGTTTCACAGTGAAGACTATGAGATCCTTTTGCTGCAGCACAGCTGCTGTCCTTACTGCCGTCGACCCATTGATGAACCCAACTGATCAGCACTATATTAAATTTATCAAACATTTCACTTATTGCAGTAATTCTTTCTAAAGTAAATACCTCATCAGTAAATAGTAAGACCTCCAAGTACAATCAGGCATTTTAACACAGGAATACAACAGGACCTGGACTTTTCAGCTTGTTATGATTAATCATATAAAAAGGAAAGGGAAAAAAAAAATGTATCCACTGGCACTTTCAATTTGCATTGCATGATTAGTTGAAAGATGCAATTTAATAATGCATTCCATTTTTACTTAGAAGTAGAAGGGTTTCTGCTGGGACTTAAAAATGTCATTAAAAGTGTTACACTTAAAATTTAATTCACATTTAATTTCAGGGACATAAAATCTTCCAAAACGCCAGATTGAGATGTTTGACCTCATTATCAGGAAAAATGTTTGGAGGAGTAAAGATGAGACTTTAAATGTCAAGCATTGTGTTTTTAAGTCTCTTAAACTTGTTAAGTTATTTTTGTAATCAATACAGATTTTGAACTTGAACCCTAAATATAAACAGAAGGTCATTACTAAGTGTTTTTGATAAACTAATGAACTTGCAGAAACTGGAAAAACAGGAAAGTTCCCAACTTTGATCTCAAAATCCAAAATGGCTGCCTTATACAAAATCTGTTGTTGCGCAATACTTTTATTTTTTTGTTAAACCTTACAATCACACTCAATACTTCTTTTAGTGAAGTTTCTACCGTGTTTGGAGGTACACAATGGACATTTCTAGCAGTAACTAACTTGTCGACTAATCACATTGGTAAGTGCCACTGGTCAAGAACAAGGTCATCAAGGTCAGGGTAAGACTTTAGAGGTCAGTGAAGCACAGCATGAATACCCACAATCACCAGTTCTGTTTCACTGCTCTCACACATAGAGATCTTAAAACCGTCTTCAGTTAATCTCTCTGATGAAACAACTAATGGTTTTAAAAAACCTCACCTTTTCTACATCACAGTTCATTGATATGTATTTTTAACATCAACATTTCCTTTGACCATTAAAGGCAGGTTCAAGTACACAGACAGTTTGAGAACCTTTCATTTATTTTACTTTTTATTTTCAGGAAAATTAGAAAATAATCATCTTGGAGGCATAACTTGTAGTTTTCTGTAAATACATAGCGGAGTAATGTAAATTTGTTGTTCTAAATCTTTAGGAGCAGAGGTAATACGTGGTGTGTCTTGGTAAAAGGTACTTTGTGTACAGTGTAAAATATATAAAACCTTTTTGAGAAACATCACTATTTTAATGTTTTTGTGCATGTTATTACACAAAGATCTGTGTCCTTTCTGAGCTTGTGTACAGATCGTATCAACTATAATAAAATACGCTGGCTTTCATATGACTGTTATTATCCATTTTACAAGGGAAAAAACGAGTGATTTCAACTGCCTTTTCTCTTTTTGTTTGAACTTTGTGTTTGTGTAAGAGCTGTTATGAGCAGCATAACCCGCTGATTCTGATTACACTCAACACTATAAGTGGAGCTCTCCGCCTTGCAGTGGTTGAGGATTAAGCTTTTTACAGATGCAAATAAGTTGGATTGCTGCAGAAATTTCATTTGTAGTCCGTCCACTCCGAACGGCTGAAATTCCAAACCGTTCCTCCGCCTCCCCTCCCACTCTCGGCTAATTCTCATGCAGCTCTGATGCACATGACAGTAATTAATGGGTTTATTTAACCGTGGTTCTAACTTCTCACTGAGAAAATGCTTCACATCTTTTATGTGCTGTGTATTTTTAGAGCTTTCTCCCGTGATGCCTTGTGTATCTCAGTGTGTGCGTGTTTTTGTTAATGTGTGCAAGGACTCTCAAACTGTGTCTTAATTCAATCTCTGCTAACACCTCACTCCATCCCTCGTCCCTAATCCGGCCAGACTATTAAAAGGTGGCGCACCTCCTCAGGGGGCTGCAGAGAACGTCTTACTTCCTCAGGATCCAGCCGCCCATCCGTATTTTTCTCCTAATTTCCACCTCCGCTGCACCACAAGACATCCCAGCTGTACTTTGCTCTGAGAGGTGCAGGCTCTTTCGCCCCGGTCTCGGAGAAAAGAAAAGACATCATCAACAGCCACAGCCATGAATGGCACAGAAGGACCCAACTTTTATGTCCCCATGTCTAATAGGACGGGATTGGTGCGCAGCCCATTTGAGCACCCTCAGTACTACCTCGCCGAGCCGTGGAAGTACTCTCTTCTGGCCGCATACATGCTGTTCCTCATCATCACGGCCTTCCCCATTAACTTCCTCACCCTTCACGTCACCGTCAAGCACAAAAAGCTGCGAACCCCGCTGAACTATGTTCTGCTCAACCTGGCGGTGGCCGACCTTTTCATGATAGTTGGAGGATTCACGGTGACCCTGTACACGGCCCTGCACGGATACTTCAGCCTGGGCGTCACCGGCTGCAACGTTGAGGGATTCTTTGCCACTTTAGGAGGTGAGAAGCTGTTCATGTATATTCTGCTCAAAATACGTCCACTGTGTACTACAGTTCAAGACTATGGAAGAGGATTAGGGCCAATGAAAAACTTTTTTTTTTTCCCCCTCAGAAATTCTGTCTGCAAATTCTGAGAATTTTGTTTTTCAGCTGCCCCAGTTGTCTTCAATACAAGACTGTAGATCAGTTTTTATAGTAAAATGTCCTGCTTTATGTCTCAGGGGAGATCGGCCTCTGGTCTCTGGTCGTTTTGGCCGTTGAGCGCTACGTTGTGGTCTGTAAGCCTATGACCAACTTCCGCTTCGAGGAAAAACACGCCATCACTGGCTTGGCATTCTCCTGGGTCATGGCCCTGACCTGTGCTGCTCCGCCTCTGTTCGGATGGTCCAGGTACTGCATGCCACCGTGAAACTGCAGAAATATTCCTGTTTTTGTTGTTTTAGTTTGTTATGGTACTGCATACAGGCAGCATCTAATAATGGCATGCTGCGATATTGTTTTTTGGATGCAGGTACATCCCAGAGGGCATGCAGTGTTCCTGTGGGATTGACTACTACACTCCCAAGCCGGAGATCAACAACACCTCATTTGTCATCTATATGTTCGTCCTCCACTTCAGCATCCCCCTCTTCATCATTTTCTTTTGCTACAGTCGCCTGCTCTGCACCGTGCGGGCGGTAAGAATATCACCATCTATGCTTTGATTGAAAAAGAAAGAGAGAAAAAAAAGGATATGATAGATTGTTTATCAGGATAAAGATTTTTTTCCCCCCCTCCATCTGAAGGAGGGCAAAGCATCATGGAGTCTCAGGAGATGTGAGGGGATTTAGAAGCTCAAGGACGCTTCAGGAGGGCAGATCATTGCCAACGTGGCAGCTTGTACTGAGGTTCTCAAGTTAAAGGGCAGTCTGCCTCCACACTGTGTCATCCTCATGCCCTTGATGATAATACTAAAATTTTTTATCATGCATTAGGAGGCATTAATGGAAAATAAATAAATAAATAAATCTCCACATCCAAATTTGTATGGGTAAAAGTGCATAATCTACCAAAAACAAGATCATTTGTAGCTCCAGTTTTGCTTTGTTGTTCTTTTTCGTAATATGTTTAACGAAAAGATGAAAAAATATAGAAATTTTGCATTTGAACAACTAAATCCTACTTTCAGTTCATCACTTAGTCGCTGCCATCTATTATTATGATGAGGGAACAGTCACAGAAGTGCATTCGGTCACTTTTGAAGCTCTCACAAACAGAAAACAGCTGAACCCTCTGTAGTTGTTCAGTTAACATCCTGAACTAGGAGGAGGTTAATGTTGTTTGGGCAATATTTTCCAACCAATTTTGATCAAATGTTAATTTCGATTGAGATGCAAGAATAGTCTTCTATAGAAAATGTAATGTATCATTACTTATTCCAATGTTCTCAAATTTATGGTTGATTCCCCCACAAAAACATTTTGTATTTACATTTAAAAATCGCCACAAAAAGATTCAAATTAGATGCTTATTGCAAGAAAAGTTTGTTGCATCTCCTATTTCAGTATTTCTTTCAAAATTGTTTTTGACCAGTATCAATTATCCTTATATTTCTTCTATTTTTCTAGAAAAAAGTACAAATGATGTGACTGATCAGTAAATCTAATAAATGTTTTTTAATTCATTTAATTCATGGTTTAAAAAAAAATAATTAGAAACCTAGAAACACAGGCTGCCTTGACAGGAATTCATCAGATATATGAAAAGTTTCTAGAACTTTTCAAATGATAAAAAAAAAGCTTTCATACTATAATTTCTAAAGAAATAGCAGCACTTTAAAACATAGAGTTATAAGGTGCAGAGAAACTTCTGGGAATATTGTTGATATGTTCACTTTTCTCACCAGAGACGGTAGAGCTTGTTGAAATTTGATGTCTCCTGCAATATAGATGACTTTTAAGTTTCCTCCATATATTTTAATAGGACAAAGGTTTTGACCCCTCCAGAAAGTTAATGTTAGTTCCTTACAAAACCGGTTTGAGGGTTTGTGATCCCTTTTTCGTCTCCCAGTCGTGCTTCATGTTTAGGTTCTGTGTGTTTGTGTTCAGGCTGCAGCTCAGCAGCAGGAGTCTGAAACCACCCAAAGAGCAGAGAAGGAAGTGACACGTATGGTCATAGTGATGGTGATCTCCTTCCTGGTGTGCTGGGTGCCCTACGCCACCGTGGCCTGGTACATCTTTGCCAATCAGGGAGTTGAGTTCGGACCAGTGTTCATGACGGCGCCGGCCTTCTTTGCCAAGAGCGCTGCTCTCTACAACCCAGTCATCTACATTCTGCTGAACAGACAGGTATGCAAAGAAGATAACTGTATTGTTGTTTTTTTTTTAACAGATCATGAGGTTGGATAGAAGTTTAATTAAAAAAAAAGGTAGCTAATAAAAAAAAGGTAGCTAATTTGTATTTTCAAACAGAATATTCATTTTTTTCCTATCTAGTATTTCATAGCTAGAATGTTGGATTTCATATTTTTAATTAAACACTTTGCACAAGTATTTAGCCTTTAGTTGCAAAGTTAAAGAAAAACAAAATGTTCTAAGAA